CCATTATCCATGTAGGTTCTCACACTTTGCTAGTAACCATTATTCACAACTGGAATTATTACAGTTCCTTTGATATGTTGCCCACACAACTCAATAGACTTTACGTCCATGTAAAGGAGGTTTAATAATTTTCATATTGGGCTCTTAACACACACCTTTTGCTAAAAATGGGAAATGTTTTGATAAATCCCACTAAAGAGTTTGCGAAAATGTTTATTTTCATTGATTGCATTATAATATATCTGTTTATTTTTATGTTTGACTTTTAAATTTATCTTAAGTTAACCATTCATGGAAAACTTATCCGGAAAAGTGGTCAGTAAAAATAGGCTGATCACATTTTTCGATTGGTAGATGCTTCTAGAACAAATTACAAATAAAGTAGTTAAGATTTACAGGACATATTTAAATGCTGATAAGTATAAGGAGCATCTCCTTACCATCTCTTGGAAATAAAAGATCCGATGTGGATTTAACATCTTGTTTGAAGGATAGCATCTCGAACGTTGCAGAGCTTCCTGGGTACCGTATAAGAAAATCTTGTAAATTCAAATCCACAACCTTCTAACCCGGAGCTGAGAGTGATTCCAACTGAACCAAACTGACTGATGTGTGTATGACATTTACTTTGCATATTTTTAATATTTCATGCCGAGATTGATGTAATCCATGACATAACTAGAGAATGTAAAAAAGGATTCACAGTGACATCACATTGACCCATTTAATTCATTTTTAAAGTCAATGTGCTTCCATCTCATTATTAAAATTATTGAATCTGTTGTGGAAGGGAATACCCAGTAAGTTATTTCATGTGAGCTATCAGCTCAGCCTATTTGTGGCATCTAAGTCTTATCCCATGAGATTTTGTACAGCCTCTGATGCTATTTTTTAACTGTCTCTCAGGGTTCTGTCCTCTGCTCTTCACCAACTGTATGATCCCACATCAAAGTGGATGACACAAACTCTATCTCTCTGCCCCTTCCCTCGCCTAGAGGGCCACTCCTGTATGACAAGGCTTGACTATGCTAATGCCCTGCTCACTGAATTCCCAGCTCTTGCCTGCACAGCCCTCAAACTATTCAGAACTCTGTGATTCCTCTCCTGTACCAGCTAATACTATTGCCCAAATCCTCACTTGGTTTCACTGGCTCCCCATCCCCAACAGTCTTGGTAGTCAGGTTCCTGAGCTAGGCAGGTCCGCAGTATTCCAGGGCTCATCAGCAGGATATGGAAGAGTAGACCAGTCACTGGGGGCAGGGAATCCTCTGACTCGGCTCCTGTTAACCCTGCAAGCCAAAGCCCAAACGATAAGTGGTCCTAGCTGGACAAGCAGTGGCAATACTTGTCAGACAGTGCTATCAATGGCAAGCTATGCAGTTTTAGCTGATTAGACTCCAGGAGTTAACCCAGTACACATTCTGAGATCCCCAAGCCTTGGCTCTTGGCAACCAATCCGCATAATACTTTCTGGAATTAGGTAAGCAGGATGCATCCCTCCAGGAAGAGAGCATATTCTATTTCAACAATCTATCTCAGACACCTGGCTAACACAAAAGAAAATGGACAACCCCTTGGTTGGCCACCACTGATTTAGCTAAACTGAAAACACACTGCAGATCGAACATGGACTTGCCTAGACCTGTGTGAATGTTTGGGTGGGGCTTCTTGACGGCCCAGTGGGCCACTTCCAGCCCTCAAGCAACAGGTTGGCCACTACAGCTGTAAAAGATGAGATCTTATTCCACAAAACTATTTTTGTATCTGTTAACCTGCATCATTTGGAATAAATGACATCATTACCTACTATTGCTGGATACGTTTGTGATACAGTGAGAACATAAATTTGGTAAAGGTATTTTAAAATCTTGTGGTCTTTAACTCTATTCTCAGAAATGGGCGCTCCATTTTATTGAAAGTATTCTGTGCGTCTCCAGAGATTGGAAAATGATTTTAAAATGACTGGGCGGCAAAAACTCAGTTATGGGAATAATTATTTCAGTATTGCAATATACTGTACGCCTGATACTCCACAGATATTATGGTACAGTATAATTCAGTATAAAACGTTTCATTTAGAGAGCAGCTGTATGGAATTTTTGATGTGGAAGCTTGAGAGCAGCGGTCAATCAGCTGTTGGGCCTCGGCCTTGAAATGTCTCTAAAGTGAACTTTGGCAAGTGCATCATGAACCGAAGTAAATGCACTGGATGTCCTCTGATGCAGAAAGTATTCTCAATGTCTAAGCAAATTAGAGAATGGAAAACTTGCTTCAGGTTCTGGAGATTTAATTCATGCAGCAAAACTAATACTATGAATATTCTGATCTGATTCAGGGCTTCTAAGTTCAAAGGGCTTCTAAGGAACTGAAGTGCAGGAATAAGCAAATAGAACAGAATACACACCAGTGACACATATTGCATTTCTAAAGACCACAGTACAGTCATGCCTCAGATAGCATTTTATAGACATGATTGTTTGATCAACTTAGATCTGGGTCTATAATTGTCTTACTACTGTACCCGTGCTGCATGTGTAACAGTTGTGTTGTGCACATGCATTGAAGATAGAAATGTCTCTTCTGGGAAGTCAAATACATTCAGATTGAAAACACATCTGTCAATGGGTGGATATCAAGTTTTTTTTGTCTGTCCAATAGAGGTGTGCAATACTTGCCACTTAATTTATATTGAAAAGACCTAGTCTGGAACTTTGAATATATGTAGCTAAAAGACAACAATTTCACTCCAACTTGCTGAGAAGGTTTCAGAGGTGTTGTGATATTCAGTGTCAAAAAAAGTACGAGAAGAAATGTAATCATGGAATTTCTGTATGCGTTTTAGATTAGAATGTTAATTTTGATACAGCTATGCCTACTGGAGAAACTATTCTGAGGTAAATTTGGAGCAGGCAACACACTTTCCAATGTTAGCCAGACAATTGTGGCATCAGGAGACCAAAGGTTATTTTGTTGTACTCTGAAACCTTCTCAGCAAGTTGGAGTGAAATTGTTGTCTTTTAGCTACATATATTCAAAGTTCCAGATTAGGTCTTTTCAATATAAATTAAGTGCCAAATATTGTAACATTAATAAAAGACCAATTTCGCTGTGTTAAAATCTTGCTGCTTTTCAAGCCATTTTGGTTTTCAGCTGGTTAATGATTTAAATAATCAGAACCTAGGTTGGTTAGGAAATGGTGGTTAATGATATTCCTAGTGTGTTTTGCCAACAGCTGCATTCATATGTTCTTGGTACATGTTGTGTTGGCAATCAGTGTTTCATTAAATTAATTAATGAAACAAGGATTATTCACTCTTGTTATGTTGCATGTGGTTTGCATACAGTTAGTTCTGCCAGTTAAGTTCTGAAGTTAATTGGACAGTGTATGTATATGATGTAAATTGAGATTACAGTCTTGTAACTCGTCCTTGTATGTTCATTCTTCTATAGGCAGTTTCAGAAGTTTAATTGCTGGTTGAATTTTCTTTAGTGCATACTAAGGTATTTTAATTTGTAAGAAAACCTTTCACCATCCAATTTTTTTTATTGTGGTTTGAAGTTAACAGAAGAAGCCTATTGTAATTACTTTCAGCTCAGCTGAATGTTCAATAACCCTTGTTACAGAGGTTTGTATTCAGTTACCCTTGAAAATACTATAATTCGGAGCTTATGTGTATTGGCAAGATTATTCAAACCATTTTTTAAATCAATAAGACAATAAGCGTGGCAACCTCGAGGAAAGCCTTGAACAGATTTTCCTGTAACTACAACACCAACAACAACTTGCACGCAGGGTAGCTTCTCAGGGTGCCTAACAGTGGCGGAGCCTGACTCCAAGCCATGGGGTTGGGGAGGTGGCTGTAAGCGCTGTCGAAGAGGAAGGTTTTCAGGTCTAAATCTAGACAAAGCCTCAGTCTTTTCTGTACAACTATTGCAATTATAGAAGAAAGTGATTATGGTTGCTTTTCGGGAGTCAGTAATGTGATTGGAGAAAGAGATAGATTAAAGAATAGAAACCAAGGTAGTATCCAACGTAGAAATAGGGCAAGTGGAAATAGATTCATCAAAATTATCAGGTAATCATAGCAAATGATTTCTAGATCTTGTTGTAGTGTTGGTGCCGTAACCATGAATTGTTTGGTGTTGTGTTGCAAGTCTTCTCAATTGTGGAGTGCAATGCAAGCTTTGTCAACAGTGATTGTGAAATTGTCAGCATAAAAACAGTTCCCCAAACTGAATAACATTTCCCACATAATCAGTATATATTCTGTTTTTGTGTTAAAGCATAAATCTTAGTGAGATTATTAAAATCTACTCACGTTTAGGACTTGCAGTTGTCTGAATTGGGAGATGTAAGTTTGGGGTACTTGTTTTATTTTCTATAGTTTTCCGCACGTAAATAATATGGTATATTTTAAAATTTATCCAGTTCATCCCTGCTAAGTAGTCTGGGTAGCAGCGCTTGGCTCCTGATTCTACATTAGCCTGGGACTGAGAAAGAGGCATTGTCACAATGAGGTTCATGCAATTGAATCCATGTCTTTGTAAGGCAGTAGTATCTCTAGATGCAACCATGTCTACATTTTCAGATATATTGTAAACAAAAATCAGTTGTGCCATACTGTTTATGGTGAAAGTGTCCCCTTTGTCTAAAAGGCAGTTTTACTAGAATCAGTCTGTTAATTAATAGATATAGCTTTGTGTAACCATAGAATTTTGTTTTGAATGTGACTCCGCTAATGCACTGGTGTGTAATCATGCTGCTATGTCACAATTTCCCTCTATTGAGAGGAATGGGAAGCAGAGACTCCAAAATTACAACACAGCATTGGCATTGAGCCATCATTCACAGAACTTTGTTCTGTGTTGATTTTTTTAAAAAAAAGGTGAGAGCTCCTCTCAAAAGTGTAATAGACCACTATGTTATATGCAGTTGTCAAAGCTATGTTTACCTAAGTCTAGCCAAGACAATGCTGTAATATTTCTGTTTACTCTTGCAGGCAATAGATGAACCTCCTTATCTGACCGTTGGTACCGATGTCAGTGCCAAGTATCGAGGGGCATTCTGTGAAGCCAAGATCAAGACTGCAAAACGGCTGGTTAAAGTTAAGGTAGATATATTAGATATGTCAATTAATATTCCACCAGTTTTCTGACTAAATTGTTTTCTCTATCCATAGTATTGGTGACATGTATTTTATGTACTTTTCACTATTTTGCACCTTTCCTGATGCTGGAAGGTGCTTAAATAAGATCTGCATCTCCCAAAGTATATGGATCTATACAGAGCATTTATCCTGGTGAGCATTGAGAGATGATTTGGCTATACAAATTATACAAACTATACAAATGACTGATATTACTGCCAGTATAATAATAACAACCACAACTTGCATTTATATAGCGCCTTTCTCCCCGAGCCAGGGGGAGAGGGAGGTGGGAGGTGACTGAAAGCACCTCAAAAAGGAAGGTCTTCAAGTGGGATTTGAAGGTGGGGAAGGTGAAGGGATTGAGGTAGAGAGTTCCAGAGTTTCGGGGTGTAGTGGCTGAAGGCACGGTCACCGATGGTGGATGGCCAGCCAAGCGGAGCTAGCGAGTAGTGGAGTACGGGGTAAGCAGATCGGATAGGTAGGGAGGGTGCGAGGGCATGAAGGGACTTGAAAACTTGTGAGAGGATCTTGAAATTGATCCGTTTGGTAATTGGGAGCAAGTGGAACCTGGTGTGATGAAATATGGAGTTTTGCGCGGGTGAGTATCCAGGTGGTGGAGTTTTTAATTAATTGATTTAATAGTGAGTGTGGGACACATCGTTTATGCAAGGATTTGAGATCCAATTATAAAGCCATGTGAGATGCCTGTAATTTTTACTTTTGTGTGTGTTCACACATGCGCTTGCTTTGGGGTGTGTGTGAGATCATTAATTCTTCAGTGTAGCCATCATCATTCATCAGCTTTTAGGACTATGGGCAGGTAATTCATGTGTACAGCACCTGTTACCTGCAAAACGTGAATCTGCTCCGTGAATGCCACATTATAAGCCAGGAAGGAAAGAGAAGATTTTGATACAAACTTTTTGATCATGCTGTTGCCTTATAAAAATCCCAAAAGGCCACTTTAGAGCTGAAATTATGTAGTCTGAGTGAGCCAGTTCTTACTGCAGAATAGTTACATGATTCATAGGAGAAACTATGAAGGATAATGAATATAATACAATGACATTTAACTGAAAAAGCAAGGTTCACATGATTTATCCATGTTACCTCATTCTGCATGTCTTATATACTAAACAATGCAGGATGTAGTGTTCCATCGTATGTTCATATAGAGTTATTTGCAGTTGTTTTATTTCTGACAGTTGCGCTCTAATATGACTGTACAGCAGTAGAATTATACAACGAATTAAATTTGTTGTGTAATAATGCCTTTCACGTTGGAAGGATGTCCCAATGTGCTGGGCAGTCAGAGATTTGGACCCGAGTAGGGGATTGGGATCAGGAGAGGTGGAGGGCAGCGAGGCTAGGGATAGGCGGGTGACCAACGACCCGCTCGAAGAGGAGACGGGAATGAGGGGTTTAGTTTCAAAGTGTGGGGGCAGAGAGACTGAAAGCCCAACCGCCGATGATGGAGCAGGATGGAGCCTGCTGAGCGGAGGGAGCGGACAGGTCAATATAATGTTAGCAGGTCACAGAGGTAAGAAGAAGCAAGACCGTGAAGGACTTGACACATGGATGAATCTTAACATTAAACTGGATTTCAAAAGAGAAGTATCTGACTAAACTTTTTTAATCCAGGATTTTTGTTTTTAATAGTTTGTGTTAGAGTTATGCTGCTTTATAAAGCACTGATGTGCATTTAACTTTCTTTTGGATTAGCAGTGGAACAATTTAGTCCATAAATAGTGGTTTTGCACAATTTTGCTCCGATCTTTTTAATGAAAAACAGCTGAAAACAACGGCAATTAATTGAAATGAAAAAATTGTATCCCATAAATGGTGCTAGACAGCACGATTCATACATAAATGTGTTTAGATAAATTTATGAAAGGTTCTTTTTGTCTCGTATTGCTCTCTTTGCTACAACAACAACAACAAATTACATTGTATAGTGCCTTTCATGTCGGGAGGACGTCCCAAGGTACTTTACAAGTACCTATGTGAGTAGAATTCCATGGCCAAAGTTTTCATTATTATCCACATCTGCTCAGATTGGCATGTAAGAATTTTTTTAACATTGGGGTGTAATTTGCGGAAGATTTAAAAAAAAAAGATTAGTAACTTACGAATAATGGATGAGTTGTGGTCAACCCTGTGAAACTCCACTTTGATGCCAATCTCAGTTTCAACATCTGTGAAGTCACCTTGGACCATAGTTCCAGAGTGTCCGCTTAATGCATCTCAGATCAGCTATTTACAAATCCTTTTGGAAATCTTGTAATTTAGTCCCTGTTGCTGAAGATTACGTTAATCATTCTCATTAAGGTGGCAGGTCGCCCACAAATATACAGTCAATTCACTTTACAGTGTGTTCTGTGAAGCACTTTGGAACGTCCTCCTGACGTGAAAAGCGCTATATCAAATGCAAGGATTATTATTATTATTATTAGGTCTGGGTCAGATCCCTTTTGGTAGATACAAGCTTTACAACTTGGGAGCAATGGGCTGTGACAGCCAGTTGGAGCTCCTAACAATTGCATTCCATATCATAATTGGGGATTCCTTCAGCAGAGCCTCTGGGTTTGATACTTTTAGCTGCCATTAGGAAATCCGTCATAGCTAAGATATGAAAATTAGAAATAAAATTGTGAAGTTGTATGGCATAGCAACAGACACAATGAACTGATCTCAGCCAAAGCAGTAGAGGGATTGCTACAGTTGACCTCCGGGATTCTGCCCTATGTGAAGGGTGCTGTATAAATGTAAGTTGTTGTTGATCTCAATATCTCATAAAGTTGGTTGCTCCAGTAACTTGATCAGAATAAACTTTAAATGATCAGTCTCTGTCTGAAAACGATAGCTTGAAGTCTAGAGATGCAAGTTTCACAGAGTGCAGTAATATAGGTAAGTTTATTCCTTAAATAGAGAATGTGTATGCAACAATATAAAAGTTAAAAAAGTTAAAATAGTGAATAGAGGAGGTGAAAAGATTGGGGACGATAGAGGGAAGACAATTGGGGACGCTTAGAATTTCGACTGGTTTTAAAAGAGTATGATTTATTCTTATCGTAGAAACTGCCCGAACTTTTTTGTTTTCAACAATCCTGATGTGTTAGTTATTTTTCACATTTTTCAGTAACATGCAATCTGTATTTAAGAGAGTTTGTTGCATAATAAAAGCATGGAACAAGTAAAAGCCTCTTGGCTTTCGAGCCTTTTTCTTCCACGGTCTTGTCACAAATTTCACGCACTGCTTTCCCCTGGGGAAAGCAGATTCTGTAGCTGCTCCCAGAACCCCAAAGATAATCAAATACAATCTTGATTGTTTATCCAACCACCGTCTCTACTATACAATCTGGTCTTATTCCCTCCCAGACATTTCTCCATAGATACTTAGCTATTCTTTTCTGAAGAAGTTAATCAACGGAGCGTAAACTGCTTTTGGTGAGAGTTGCACATGTGTAATACTCCATGGGAAAAATCTCCCAATTTCTAGTTCTGCTTGACACTTTTTAATTTAATTTTAACCCTTGTAAACAACAGCTTCAACAGCTTCATGTTGCCTGGAGTGTTTCTGTGGATGATCTCACATGTAGCTTTTTCCATCTGTCTGTTGTGATCAGATCGTAATGGACATCCTTTCGATGTATACAGTGTTAATATACTAGAACAAGAAACAATTGTATGCTATCTTGCACTTATTTACATCAGAATCCATTTGGTGTTTCTTGGCCAGTCTGCTTAATTGAATGCTTTTTGTATTCAGATATTGTTCATGTTTCAGCCTGGCTCAGTAGGTAGAATTCTTGTCAGAAGGTTGTGGGTTCAAACTTCAAAGTAGTGCTAAGGGACATTGCATTGTTGGAGGTTCTGTGTTTCAAATGAGGTCCTATCTGCCTGGTATTAATGGTAAAGATTCCACAGCATTGTTTGAAAAGAGATGGACTTTCTTCATGTGTTCTAGCCAATAAGCCCCTGGATCACAACAACAACTTAGATTTATATAGCACCCTTCAAGCAGGGTAGTGGCCCAGAGCGCTTTACAATGGTGGAGCACAATGCCAAGTTGGGGTGGGGCGGTAACCTTAGACACAGTCAAAGAGGAAGGTCATCAGGCATGACCTGAAGATGGAAAAGAAAGAGACAAGGTGGAGGGATAGAGGAAGAGTGTTCCAGAGTTTCAGGGCGCGGTGGTTGAAAGTGCAGCCGCCGATGGTGGAACAGAGGGCACGAGGGACATGCAGAAGGTCAGAGGTTGTGGGATAAGCAGATTGGAGTGGTAGGGAGGTGCCAGAGCATGAAGGGATTACAAGATTGGTCTGGTTGGAAAAATGGGTTTGGCTCATTCTCCCTCATCCCTCCAAAACACCAACCCTACCGTACCCCCATCTCTGCATCAACCTGTTTTTTATGAGTCCAGTGTGCTGGCCTCTACCATCTTTCCTAGAAACTTGTTCCAGTTGATGATTACCCACCGTGTAAAGAAAAACTTCCTCATGACTGCCCTGAAATTGCCCTTAACAAACTCTAAACCGATAAATCTTGTAGTACTGCCTTTCAGCATCCTAAACCATTAATCTGGGTTTACTTTTTAATCCCATTTAAAATGTTATACACCTCCATGAGGTGCCCTCCGAGTCGCCTTCTCTCAAGACTGAAGAGCCTTAGCTTGTCTAATCGTTGCTCAAGCCTCTAATGCTGTGGGTCATCCTTGCGTTTCTCCTGTGTACTGTCTCTCAGGCTTGGGCAGCCCCCTTATGACCAGAGCTGTCTGCAACATACAAGGTGCAGTCTGACCAGAGCACTGTACAGTCTGAACATGATAGCTGGGAATCTAAACTCTGCTGACTTAGCAATCTAGCTCAGTATTCTGTTTGTCTTGTTTATTGCTTTCTCACACTGTTATGGTGAGCGACTAGGGTCGCGACTTCAACTTTTCCCCCTTGGCAAGATCAATCCCATCCATGGAGCACTTGTATTTCCTGTTCCTGGGTCCTATATGTTGTAACTTGTATTGGTATTAAACCTCATTTGCTAATTACATTGTTGGTTTTCGCCTCCTCATTCAACCATTTTGGCCTTTTTATTTCATTTTGTTTTCAAAAGTATGTGCAGTATTTCTTTTCAATTTCCCTTAAATGGCTTTAAGAGATTTATTTTTCATAAAAATAGTCCTTTACGACCAGGTGCTCCTCCAAATCTTAACAAGCCATTTCCGTGCCTTGAAATTCAGATAGAAAGCAATGCTTCTCATCTAGGAAAGCTTTAGTTGTTTGCTTCTGAAGCAGTTAAATACAGCTGTTTCACCAAGGAGCATCTTTCCTTGAACACTGTGGAACTGCAATTATTGAATGATTATATAAAACATGCTTCAATTATATGGTCAATGGATGAATTAGAAAGGTAATGCACAGTAATTACTGTTAGTCAAAAGTTAACTATTATTTTCTGAATTAATAAAATACCTGTTGAATTTGTATGCTTGCGCACTAGTATGATGGGGATATATTTATGCTTTTTTCCAGGTAACATTCAAACATGATTCATCAACTGTTGAAGTGCAAGATGAACATATCAAGGGTCCGCTGAAGGTACAGTTTTATTTTTCTTAACAGCCACATCAGGTAGCACAAGTTATTTAAGGTTTCGAATGAAGTGAAATATTGTATTTGTTCTGAGATTTACTGCACATCATGACTGAGATTAAAGTTCCCGAAGCTTGGCGTATTCTATATTTAAAATTATGGCTAAATGTTGTTTTTGGAATTTACAGCATATATCTTATCCAACAATGATGCTAAACGTTTCCATGATGGGGATTGACTGAATAGCTCATGAGATAAAGTCGCAAGTGAGTGAATAATTCCACCACGTGGGCTTATTCTACCTCACTTCTGGCTTTGACATATTGAGCTATATTTTAACATCAGAATAATGCTGTAGAGTGACATTCTTGTCAAACTCAGTATTTTTTTACTCCCTCCCAACCTCAAACTGTTGCAGCAGGAATTTTTGCAGGGTTGGGATAAAAACATTTTTAATAATGAGGATAAGGAAACACATCTGCAATTTACAGAAGTTCAGCAGTTCATTAATCCCTGCTACAACTAATTCCGCATCTACATCAGAGATGTTGGTGTAGTGATTCTGTCCCTTTTCAGCCATCTCTTCCTTGGAGCTCAGTCTAACTTCTGATGAACCAAAGTGATAGACATAGAATTAAAATGAGGTAATATTTAGAGCGCAATTTTGTTTTGTACTAAAACATACATAACACAATCTGTAGTACTTTGGCTTGTGTATTGCTTTGCAGTTGGTACCAGAGAGCCTCAGTCTACAAATTTAGAGCATTTTAATAATGCAAAACCACTATATTTTAAGTTAATTTTAAGAAGTAAGATTGGCAGTATTGCTGAAGTCTCCAGAACATGTGTGCTATGAATATTTCTGAACTTCTATGTATTCCAGTTTCATATAGATATATGTTAGGAAATGAATAGGCTATAAATCCGATTCCACAAGTTAACTAACCTGAAACCCGCAATTGAGTTTTAGGCAAGAGGTAAACCCTATCACTAATCTCTAATCCTACCAGTTGGTAACACGATTCTGTAGTTAATAATAATATAATAAATCATAGTGTTGTGTACAGTAAAGTATGTTCTGCTGTGGATTGGATGTATTGATGTTATTGACCCATTCTGTGAGGTGCAATTATAAGCATTTTGATTATTTTACATCTGATTTGTAATCTTATAGAGAACAGTCATTGTAATTGATATTAAAAATGAATGAATTGTATTAAAAACATTGACATGACAACATGTACGGTATAAAACAAGGCTTGATTTAGATTGATGTGAGCTTTCAAAATTAAAAGGTTAAAATGTGATTCAGTTACTGTTAATTTTGACTTTAACACTACTAGTAGTTGGCTTGATTACAGTATTGATCATTGATTCATTCGATCTCTTGTGTCGAAATTATTTTTAGCTCCTATGCTTTCTGCTGTAAAATACATTAGTATATATAATGTGCTAATTTGAGTTTCAATTTTTTTTTTAAATTGCACTATTCATATGTGATCTGGAACAGTGCTGTAAATTGCAGCATGCTATGTTGTCTCTGAGGGGTACCTTTATTATCAGGTTGCCAGCCTGTGCTCCTGCTGCTTTCAATCTTTTGTGAACTATTTGACCATTGATTCTTTTCGTGAATAGAATGCGTATATTGTTAAAATTTGAGAACATTGAAAGACTTTTACCTCCACTGATGTCTGTACTACCTACTGTGTGCATAAACCCAAAGCAATATCTTGTTCTATCTTTTGATTCCAATTTTTAAATATTCTCTGTGACTGCTACATTGACATAAAGAATGTTTTTTTAAAAAAAGGTTGTTTGTAATAGGAATATTGGTAGCCATTGAACAATTATAGAATATGAGAAGGCCTCCAAACTGGAACAGAAAGATGGGATGTTTGAGGATGTGACTGGGATTTTTATAATCCTTCTTCCTTTCCTGCTTCTCTATTTAATTTTTGACCACTTACCTGAAGCCTTCCAATATTTTGCACAAAATGCTGTTCTTCATGTCTAATGCTTGACTGAGAATGTTGGCAGCCAATTTAACCATTGATAATAATAATCCTTGCATTTGATATAGCGCTTTTCACATCTCATAGACGTCTCAAAGCACTTCACAGAATATATTGTAAAGTGAATTGACTGTATATTTTGTGGGCAAACCGCGACAGCCAATTGCATACAGCAGTGTGTATGGGAGGGGGCAGGGGAGGGGCAGAGAGGGGAAACAAGTCTATCTTTCGCCTCACTTACAATTTCCAACTGGGTTCTTTGTATAATGAGTCCTGTAGCTCAGTGGTTAGAGCACTCGCTTTGCAAGCGAGAGACCTGAGTTCAATTCCAGGCAGAGGGCGAAACCTTGGGCAAGTTTCCTTACTCCACACAGAGCCTAATAATAATTCCTCCAAAATAAACAACAATAATAAAATTGGTCATTTTCAATCTACGACTGTTTGTGGGACATTGCTGTGCACAATTGGCTGCCGCGTTCGCCCACAAATATACAGTCAATTCACTTTACAGTATATTCTGTGAACACCAAAATATGTTTTCAAGACTGTTATGAAACCATGTTTAACAGGAAAGATAAATTGGTTACTTCCTTCACTCTTGACACTGTAAGATATGCATGATTCTGGTATTCGTTCTCTGCCAAAATTATTGATACATGGCGACAGTGATTGTTTTCCTGCTTAACAGAAGTAAACTGCTCTGTCAAGAGTACAAAAAAGTAGAGTGAGATATGCTTCTAGCAAAATGCACTCTATGCATGCGCTAAGTACATAGTATGGTCCCTAATGGTGGCACAACTAAAGTAATAGTTCGCTCCCTGTTTCCACATCACCATCCCTGAGCATGATCACAATAGCTTCTACATTGTGATCTGTTTTATTTTGAATTCTGTTTAATGTTTAAAGTTTTTTTTTATTCTGAACTCTTCCCAAAAAAGTATGAATGAAAGTGGTCTTATATAATGAACCGCATTGTCTTGAAGATATACTATATGAATGCCTCCCCTTTGTCGTCGCTCTCCCCCCCCCCCCCCCCCCCATCTGTGTGATGGCTTATTCAAGCCAAACCCCCTGTATGTTCAAATACAAAGGTTACCGAAAGCCAGAGAATCTTCCATTCAGAAATGTGGGTTCTGTCTAGTAGAGAGAACCAACAAATCTAACAGCAATATTTATGTTCTGATTCTGCAATGTGTATTTCATTTGACTTATTATATTTCCACCTTATAGGTTAAAATTCAACACCAGAGAAGAGAATTTGGTAGCAGGCATAACCTTTAACTGGAAACGTGCAATGTTATCGGATTTTCTTAAAAAGCTATATTAGAAAAAAATGACTGGTGTCATAGAAATGGGATCACATCTTCCTCTAGAGAAACCGTATAATATAGAAATTATACTGTGGGTTCCTTCACCCCTAAAATGTGATGCGATTTTTACATTTCCATTTTCTTCAATAAATCCAATAATGCAAAGTTTATGTGGCTGAAGTATTGGAGTATTTTGTTCAGATACAATTATAATTTTTGCTTCACATTGTTCATTTTTCTACCAACCTTTCTTGATTTGCACGTTTGATATTGTGGCCATTCTTCCCCAACCCTCCACCCCATTTCTTAGTTGATAAATATTCCTTGTTTGTGATGTGTGGCATTGTGTCATACAAACCAAGGAAGTCCCGTGTTTAATCTGTGTTCTGACCTATAGTAGTTCAGTCTGGGTAATCAAAATTGGCTTCAGCAACCAGTCAACCAGGGTTCCTGCTCTTGATTGTTATCCAGAGATCTCTGATGGAAAATAAACATGTGCGAGTGCCAATTGTTGTGTTTTGCTGTATTCGTCTTCACTGTCGACAGATTCTTGGCTTTCATTATCCTGGCCGATCCATGGAGCATAGCCACTTGGATCAAGTACAAGATAGTTCCTTCAAACAGTACTTTAAGCCACCCTGAGTCATTGCTTGAGGATAAAACAATTAAAGAGAAAAATACGTCAACATTTTCAATACAAATATTATTGATCCTTAAGTCTGGAATAACAGGTTACTAAATAGTTGTTTAATCAGCACTAACCTCAAATGTAAATATGAATAAACTGGTATGAGGACCACAATTCCAGCCCTGACTTCTGTTTACACTGCTTGACTTGTGCAATAACACCACTGAATTCAAGGCATATAAATGAGATATTTTAACAAAATCTAAAATAAAAGGAGAGAAGCAAGGCAGCAAACACAGCTGCAGGTTGGTGAGCTTAAGAGGGATGCTTCCTGCTGTGAGGTAGAAAAATGTGAGAATGTGCCCCAGGTCTCATTCATGCACCTCTCGGCATTCATACAAAATGAGTGGCTCACTGATGTGTATTCTGTGTTAGAGAATGGGTTTGCTGACAGGGGACCGGCAAGAAAAGAGAAAAACGTGCTCTCGCCCTCCCCCAGAAAAAAAGCGAGAGAATTTCTTAGAAGCGCAAAACTAAAAAAGAATCCTCTGGTGTCACAACTGGTAGGTGAAACCTTTTTAAATGTTTTACTGAATGGGTGTAACTTCTGATTCTAGGTAGGAGCTATTGTTGAAGTGAAAAACCTAGAAGGAACATACCAAGAAGCTGTCATTAATAAGCTGACTGATGCAAGCTGGTACACCGTAGGTAAGGAGAGCCCTGTTTTAGGCAATAAATCATTTTAATTTTGTTAATGTCATACAAAATATTATTTCAGTATTAAATACCTTTGTGGCAATCTTGTACTACAAAGAAACTCTTTACTATTTAATTTCACAGCAAATGATGTATGAAATGTTGGATAGCTGAATTGTGCGAAACATTAATATGAGTATGAGCCCAATTTGTGATGAACTCATATCAGGCAAAATAGGTTTCTCCTTTCCAATATTCTCTTTCTCCTGTAGCCTCCAGAGTTACAGTTTTTGACTCTTTGTGTGACTTTCTGTGCATTTTGCATTTGGTAGACTTTGTGTAGAGTAAGTAGATTGTATGTGGAGCATGGTGGTGTACAATTTCATGACTGCTTGATCCAGTGCAAGTTATAATAAATCCTTGAAATGATGAAGGAACCTGGTTCTACAAAAAAAACTCAAATCACAATATATTACAAAAAATGATCCTATAACTACAATATTGCCTAGGTATTGCTTTGTTTCACAGTGAAGGTCACTTCTGTAACCTGGAGGACAATATTTAGCAAATTAATCTTATCAAATTTCAGTATTCATTAGTCTAGTGCTTTGAACCAGCCTTAGAGCTTTCTTTATAATAAGGTTGATACCCATTCAGATAACCAAGTAATTATGCTTCTGAATGCTATTAAGAAACTTATTTCTACAAAACCTTTTTTCAAGAAATTTTTATTAAGTGTTAGTTAATGTAACTTGCCAGTTAGGCTGTAACTGAGGTGTTGCATTCACTGTAGAACTTTACTGTACTGTCTCTTGTATTGAAGCTTGACATGACGTTAGTCAGCAAGTGTTAGTTTGGTGTTTACTATAGTATTGTGGCTCTTGTATTCTGTTTGAATCATGGTAAGCTTTAGACTGAGCTGGAATTTAAGTCTCTTTGGAACAGCCAAAAATTCATGACTCAGAAATGTGTTGTTTTTGCTTTGCTTCAATTGTTGATTATTTTTTCCTGCCTCATTTTATAGGAGGAATTTTAGTGAAAGTATGCTGAAAATTTGCCACTACAATATAAATGAGGCTTTAGAGAGCAATATCTTAATTCAGCATCAAAGCGAGAACTTGTTTCATTGAGATAATACTCAGAAGGCAGTGTTTTATTGCTCTGATTGTACTTTCTGAAGACTGCAGTTAGCCAGCAGGCATTAGTGAAAATGGCCCATAATGTTACTGCATTTTCTCACTATCCAAAATCCTAGTTTAAGCATATGAATATAATGGACTTGCAATATTTTTTCCAATTATCATTCATCAAAGATGTCTTTCTTAAAGACAAAAATGAGTTCTCCCGGATCGAACGTTGTAAACCACACAATTGCACTTTCAAGTAAACCAAATCTAGGCATTGCATCAGAATTGCTCTGCGACCAAATAATAATGTGGTATGGAATATGTCCGCATTTCCTGCACATACTCAAAGAGACCTGATTAAATATTATAAGTATTGGAGGATTTTAAATGTAGTGTTCTTTCAGAATTATATAAATATTTCAAATCTACACCAATACTTTTATGCGTTTCAGAGAAGAATTTCTCTGCTAGTGATCATATTGCTGACTAGTGTTTTTTTAACATTAATAATATCAACTGAATCATACAATCTGTCATTGGAAGAAAGAGATTTTATTCATGTGCAACTCCCTTTAGCTTTTTGTAATCCTCTTTAGTATTTTCTCATCTATAGCTTGGGGAAGTAACATTTCTGTCTCTGTTTGGGTTAGGCTGATTGTTAATATTCCATCCTGTGTATTATTTTCTATTACATCTTCTAAATTAGAATAAAAGCAATATCCTTCAAGTAACCAATGGCTATATATGTGTTCATACTGGTTTTATCACCAAAAATCTTCCAAGTACAGTGGAATCCAGTTATAATATGTTATATTATAGTGAGTTATTATCCTTTTATAGTGTTTGATGATGGTGATGAGAAAACCCTGAGACGTACTTCACTTTGTCTGAAAGGAGAGCGACATTTTGCAGAAAGTGAGGTGAGTTGTGATAACCAGCATTGCCAACTTTCTTTAAATTATGCATTTTGTATGGGACTGACTGTTTTGCTTAATATTTTACAATAGACGCTTGACCAGCTGCCCCTCACTAATCCGGAACACTTTGGTACACCAGTCATTGGAAAGAAATCTAACAGGGGAAGAAGGTCCAACCAAGTGTAAGTAAAACATTTTTAGTGCACTTTGGTTCAAAATACAAAAGACAAATAATAAAATATTTAAGCTGCTCATGTACAGATCTAAAATTTTAGTTTTCCACATCTTTGTCTAAACGCTTTACTCCTATCTGAACTTGAAAAATATTCCTCGTTGCAACCCAGTTATTATCCATAATTCTGTTATTTTCTCAACACATCAAAGGATATTCTTTCTTTATTCTCCAAACTAATCTGTGAAAAATGGTAAAAATTGATCATCCGCAAAAATTTGTGGAGTCCTGTAGCTCAGTGGTTAGAATACTCGCCTCGTAAGTGAAAGGACCTGTGTTCGATTCCCGGCTGGGCAAAATGTTGGACATGTTTCTTTATTCCACACGCCTCTGTTTACCAAACAATAACTAGGAACCCGGGTGTTAGTTTATTGACGGATCGCTTTTCAGGGGATAATAATCCCTCCAAAAAATTATTTAAAATAATAATAATAATTTGGTCACTTAATCTATGACTGTTTATGGGACACTGCTGTGCGCAATTGGCTGCCGGGTTTCACCCATAAAGCGTATTCAGCTTGCTGTATATTCTGTGAAGCACTTTGAAACGTCTAGAATACGTGTTAAGGCGCTTTATCAAATGCAAGGATTATTATTCTTATTTAAAACTATGCAAGTAGTATTCTTTCACTGTTGCGATGTATGTTACATCAGCACATCTTTACATTACAGATACTTTGTAAATGTTTCACCATCACATTAACCCAAAATAGTTCGAGCATCTTCAATGGATAGACGATTTACAATTTAACCTAGCTACAGTGGTTATGCTGGGAGAAAATGAATACAAACCAATGCATCTCAGCAAATATAGCAATATAACATAACTATTCTAATATTTTCTTTTAAATTAAGTTTTTGATGCAATTTGCACTGATCGAGGAGATGGATATCTGTGCTGAGAATAAAACACCTTTTCCCTGTTGTTATCCTGTATCAGCAAGGGGTATTCCAAACCTGGGTACAGGATAGTTAGATGGAGGGTGAATTTCCCTTTTCTTTGCCTCCACAATGTACCTTAATTTCAATCTCAAGAATTTCTATCAGTGACAGTTCTATCCTCACACCAGCAGTTTATGAGTGAGATTACCAATTTGGTGTGAATTTGTGAGCATAAACTCACTGGGAACTGGGTAATACTAGCCTGATTTCCTTTCAATTGGATAGAGGAAACCTCATTGCATTAGTCTGGACTAAAGTCAAACTTTGATTCTAGAAGTAAAAAGGACATTATGTCAACCAATTGTGGCCCCTGTTCCACTTTCGCAATCTCTTGAGGTATATAAAACAAAAAGGTACCAGAGAATGCTGTCTGCTTGTCAAACTGTTAGAAAATATATGGGGTTTATTTTGAAATCAAAATCATCTTAAACAGCAAAGTAACAGGTTAGAACGCCAGCACATTATATTGTTATTAATCAAGGTTGTTGAAAGTTTTCAGTAGCAGCTGTAGTGCTTGTATCTAGATGCCAACTCTGCATAAAATGACCAACCTTATCTTTCGTTCCTTCATTATCCTCGGGTGTCATTCCATACACATGGGCTTTCGCGAACTGACCAGACCAACAATAGATTTGCCAATTCCTGACCCTCGTAGTCTTCCCCTATCCTCAATTAAACTTGAATATGCGATGCAGTAGCATAAATAAAAACGTAATTATCATTAACAGTATTTAAATTGTGCGTCACGGAAAACTATTTATACGGTTTTGATGCACACTTTCCTTCAATTGATGCTTCAAAAAATGAAAGTAGCCATTCCATGCAATTCAATTTACTGTGCCCAAAGCAATACAAATCTTTTGGGGGTCTTTATAAATCATGCCCTGTTGTACAAAGCGTTCCCTACAAAAAGATCGTTGAGCCTTCTCATAACCTTCAAGACTATAAGAAAAAGATGGAGCAAATTTCAGTCACAACTTGCAGATTATCCTTCCACTAACATAACTCAATTTGTTTTTATTCCCTGTTTCAAATGCCCCTATACTGCCTATCCTTGTGTTTACGCAAGAGAATTCATCCAAAAGCCTCGTCACTGTGGGACTCATCACCAGTCGTTATCTTACACATCTCAAACAGTTCACTGAAATATCGCATCTGAAAATTTGAGTGGATTTGTAATGTTTTCCAGATTTAAAAGGTAATGATTTTGTTGCCATTTTTATATTCATTGCTTTTATGTTTATTGTTTAATTGCAGCCCCGATGAAGAAGAATCTTCTTCATCCAGTGATGAAGATGATGAAGACAGGCGATTAAGCGATGAATTAATTGGTAAAATTGTCTGTGTGGAGTGTACAAATGGAGATAAAAAGAAGACTTCATGGTACCCGGCTCTTGTAAGTGTTTGTTTCTCACAAAACCAGATTTAAATACTTCTGTCAAGATACTTTTGGCCACAGTGAAATTTTTCTATGTTCATATTACTGATGTCATTGGAATTCAGATTGCAGTTTGTTTTACCTAAATAGGGGGAAAATGGGCAAACGTAACCCTGAAAAAAATTAACTGAAAAGCTGTAACAAATGTGACTCCATCAAAAATCAAACAAATATTAGTATCCTGGTGCTGTTTATCTGACAGGCAGCAGAATAAAAACAGCCCTTTTAAACAAAGTGCCTTTTAATACTTTTGTATATCAGGATTATTGCATTTTGTTCAGTGTTTACAATTTCTGTTTCAAGCACAACTGGAATAAAACATGTTACTTTGTTTGCTTGAAAAGGTCATTTCTTCAGACTGCAATGATGAAATCACGGTGAAAAAGGACAGTGTGTTGGTTCGTTCATTCAAGGATGGCAAATTGTAAGTTCTTGAATAATTCATGTAGCTGAAACCTGAAGAAGCATGGCATGGGGTTAATTCAGAATGCAGTTCTTTAGATAACACGGTGTGATTCTTGGTACCTCAGAATCTCCTAAGAACATGCCTACCTGCTGACTGAAATCTCACTACTGCCAGCATGCATGATCTCACAGGGCTTTGCATCCCATTTGTTTAATTGTATTTTTATTGTGTGTGAAGCCTGTAAGGACTCAGTGCTATGATGCCCCATTCATGTGTGACTATAATTGATATTGATAACTAATATAGTATCTTGCCCACAGCGATGGAATTCAGGAGAGTGTTAGATCCTGGAATGATTTAAGTTTGTTACACATTTCTTGCAGCTTTTGCTTTCTGAACACTAAGATTTTTTTAAAAAATTGAATTTTGATACAGTGTAGACTGGGAGTGGAGCTGAAGCGCGGAGCATGCTGGTAGTTTATGAGTGGTTCTTCTTTGTCCCTAAAGGCATGTGGACACAAGCCTCACTGTGTTCCAGGGATTTCTAGCTGTTTGCAGTTTTCTGTGTTACTGCTTGTAGTAATCCATAATCTGTTTAAGTTTTTTATTTCACTGCATAGAATTTATAGATGCAAAAGAATAAGACTGGAGGCTTTTATACTTTTGTTTTTCTGATAATGTTACATTGACTTTACTGTAATCAGCTTTACAGTAATTGCTTTCCTCTGCGTAAAGCCTCTTTTGATATAAATATGCTAACTTGGGAGGAAGTGAAGTGGTATTAATCAAATAGAAATTAGGTGTAAAATATGGCTCAGTGAATAAATGCAGTCTGGTGTGGTGCTGAGCCATATGGATGAGAAAGGCTTCAGGTTCAATTCCTGATCTGGGATGAGTTAGCCGTTACAGCCTGGGGATTGTAAACATTGGATTCCTATTGGAAAGTGTTGCCTTTGGGTGAGGAGGAAATTGGGCTTTGTTGAATCTTCTAGCCAAATAGACTGCCAACATTTACTGAGCTGACTTGTGAAGTTGCTTAGAGTGGGGAAGCGGGGACCATTGAAGTGTACCCCATGATTAGTCAGTGCCTTCAGGGTGAGGATGGGGTGGGGAGGAAAGTTTCCTTTATAATTTTTTTGCATATCATAATGGGCAAGAATAGAATATGAATAGAAGCATGAGAACACTGAGTGATGCCTGACTTGTCAAATCGATTTGTTCTTCCATTTGTCTCTCTGAGATTCTTGCCTTCTGCCACCTCACTGATTAGGTTATCCCATAAGTCTTATAATTTCCCTAGCCTGGTGCTGTCCAGTGCCTTACTCGTGGCCGTTCTTCATTTCTCCGTTTAGACTGTGATGGTCGTCTTATTTAACCCTAGGGCAATTGCTTCTGAGCCTCATTGGCACTTTTATCTTGTGTCCACACACTTGAACTTGCCCAAAGATGAATAGATCAGGATTAAAATGTAATTTTTAAAGAGATAAATTGTTATAAATAATTAAAAATTTAATTCCAGTCTTCTCTGTCTTCACTTTAGCCCTTTGGATGGTTATATGGAAGTGCCCTTTTGTTTTTGTGTGGGACAGGGGTTGGGACGCCCAGCGCCTTGGGATGTCCTCCCGACGTGAAAGGCGCTATATAAATGTAATCTTGTTGTTGTTGTTGAGATGTGGGTTTATGTGTGGAAGACATGCTAGTTTATACTGGAAATTTCATGCTCACTGAGTAGCATACAATGTAGAAATAACATCCTTCTTTGAGGTGTCTGCAACTGACGTCTCTTTAGTCATTGAGTATTTGTTATGTTTATTTTACTGAGTACCTATGCCTATTCGGAACATTCAGTAAAGCTTTTCTCTTGATTGTTGCTACATAAATAATGGTAGCGAATTTGGAGGGGAAGAAATGTTGGGAGCAAAGCTATCTCATATTTCAGGCACTGCTCGTGGCCTCTGCTACCATTATGTACAAGTGTAAGTTGTTGTTGTTTTGGTAGATATATTAGGGAAAAAAACATCCCAAATGATTTGATTTTGATTTGTTACAGTGCGGCAGTTCCTAGGAAGGACATCACTGAATTTCACAGTGAGACAACCCCAAAATCAGATGCAGGAATGGCGGAAGGTAAAAAAAAACACATATGTCATAAAATTACCAAGTTAAACCAAATTGAACAAAAATAAAACAGTGGATTGTGCTACAGTTTAAAACTAGCCTTGTTTGTTTCTTAGTAGTTTGGTATAAAATGAGATTCCAGGCAATTCAGTACAAATTGTTCATATCAAATTTGTCAGTTTATTGATTCATTTTCAAATGGATCATAAAAATATACGATACACAAAATGGGTATTTTAAGATACACTTTTGCCAACTTAAATGCTGGACTCATTTAAAAAAAACTACTGAATGGAAAAATAGTAGGTTAGATATTCTGGAGGATGAAATCATATGGGCAAAGGGCCTTCTGCATCCGAACCTCCTTTGTAAACTTCTACCATGGAGTACTGAGTATTGCCATAAATCCTCTTCTGTCATACAGATTTACCAGTGTGGGAGGGTTTCGAAAAGAGGTGGATTAAGGAAAGCTTTAATCAACACGTTTCCCATAAGAACTGAAAATCTGAATGAATTGAGGCACTGTTGTACGCCAATGAGCAGCTTGCTTCAGTTTATCATTGGGAAATGCCTGAAATGCTACAAGTGCTGGAAGACTAAGAAGACTTGGGTGGAGGGACTGCTAATTTAATTAGCTTTGCACTGGCAATTAAAACCAGAAGACCATTAAATTGCCTGTTGGCAGCTGGTGCTATAAAGAAACTCATTATTTCCAAATACGGTATCAGTTTTCTTCCTTCCCCTCAAAGAATCCTACAAATCAGACTGATGAGCATTAGTTGCGTTTGGAGGGAGAGTGGGGAAGAGAGTTTGATTTAACGTGAAAGTGGAGAACTTCAGGTGGATTAAGGAAAGCTTTAACCAACACGTTCAGTTCTGACAGTCAAGTAGGCAGCTCCAAATTAAATGTTAACCATTCCTGTTCTTTCTCAGTGGTTGAGAAACCTGCGCCATTTGTGTCATTAGCCAGTATTTGTGAATGTTACTTAACACATATTTGCCAGCTTCAAAATTTCCCTCTGGTTAATGGGCTTATATTCTAACAGTTTATTTGGATGTAACGTTTCTGTGTCTGCATATGTGCACACCTGTCTGGATGCGTTGTTACGAGTGTACATATTGTGTGTGTGTGTACGTGTACATGTTTGTATGCACTTGAGTGTGAGTCTGCACGCGAGTCTGTATTCATGTATGTTCATGGCTGTCTATGACCACAGAATCTTGTATAATGAAGTGTCTTTTTTAAAACACTGGAAAAGATGTGTTTAAATTGTGTTTGGGGTTTTAGCTTTGGATCAGGCTTTTACATTCTTGAAGACGGGAGCTGTTCCAAACAATTGGAAGACAGAGCTGAAAGAAGAGAGCTCAAGCAGTGATGATGAGGAACACGATGAGGAAGATGATAGTAGTGAAGAGGAGGTGAGGATTTTTGGCAGGGGATTAGTTTGTGAAATATGTGAACGATTTAGTTATTTTCTGCTGATAAATCTGCAGATATTTACTATTTGACCTGTGTCTAATCTTGTGTGGTGAAAATAATTCTGTCTTAAAACTTTATTTGGCATGGTTCCACTGCAGCTTCTTCTAGACACCTGCCAGGTGGCTTCAGATCTGTTGCTGTGGCAAAGTGGATTAGCGAGGGTTATAAATGGTGAACTTCACAGTGGCAGTCTATCAGAATAAGGTTTAATAAAGATGGCAATTTTATTTTTAAAGTATTTAGTGAGCTTTTTATTTTCAAAACAAGGTGTCAGTGTGGTTTATAGTTGACTCGTTATTTTTCTATTTAATTAAACTTAAAACTTATGTGAAGGGTAAAGGCAATTTCTTTTTTTTGGTCAGCAGGTGTCTGACACGTGCAAAAACCCATCACTGTGCTCCAAACCAAACTGAGAGTTTCGTACATCTAAATTTGAAAATTTCAGAAATATTTGTTGAAAGTGAATGCACACTCTCTTCCTTTATGTTGTCTTCAATTAAAAAAAAATCCTTTACACCCCACCCCTAACCTGTAAATTCTCTCATATTTGATTCTAAAGGTACTGGCATGGTTCCTTAGACCCTAACAAGTTTCTCATACTTAGTCTAAATGGTTATTTTTCAGTAATACTTTGTAGATTGTTCAATCTTAGGGAATCAAAGCTGAACGCAAACCCTTTCTTGCCTAATGTTTCACATGTGTATTTTCCAGCAGGGAACCTAGATCCTGGGTAGTAATCAGGAGCAAGTCCCTGGCTGATTACCTTCCCTCCTACCCCTGCCCCAAGCAAGGGACAGTGGATAAATTGTAAATCCTCCAATGCTATCTTGACCGAGATCAGATCTCGATGGTTCAAATTCCTAATGGCAGTTGATATACTAACTTGTCAGAGGATTCATGTTAGGAAATCGTTTAAATTTCAGCCACTCGTTTTTTTAATGGAAGAGGACTTCTGGAAGAAAGAGGAATTTATTTTACTTTCAAGTACTGATAATATGATTGTGTGTGTTTATACACATTGACTCAAATATATTTCAAGCTCCTCAAAAGCACACCAAGCAGCATCATTTATTTAGCTAATATGTTGTAATATTTACACTATAATAAATTAAGCAGATGACTGGTAACCTGAAACTGTTTAGACATAATAAGGTTGGGGGAAGCATGTATTTTGAAACTTGAGAAAATAAACTACAGTAAAAGATACTTAGTCTTCTTGACATTGTGATACTTTACATCAACAATGTGTATTTGTAATGGAAAGTGTACAATAGGAAAGGAAAACTGGTTAAAAAAAATAAACTCCCAATTCTGTTGTAAACCTACACATAATATTAAACCATTTCTGGGCCATAAACCAGGCTGATATAACGGCTACTTAACTTTGGTAGAATGTATTTTCCAACAATAAAATGCATTTATTTTACAAACAGGGCTATTCTGATGTAGCAACAAATGTATAATTGGATTGCCACAATATGAGTCTGTAGGGATTGTATTTGAGAAATCAGGTCAATAAAATCTTCAATTGAAAAGAACCTCTGTAATTGTTTTATGCAGATTGTGCAGGCAGAATTTCAGGCATGTTAGTTTTAGCTGTCTCACACAGTCCTTTAACCATTCGTCTCTTGTGCTAAATGTAATGTAACTTGAATGAGTTTCTGATAGTAGTCTGTTTGCGGTATAGGATTTTCAGAATGAATATTGAGCCTATAATTACAAACCTATAAACTGCTGCATTTAAAAATTCCTCTTAACTAACATCTCTCTCCCATTGCCTCCTGGTGCTTCCCCGATGTTTAAACACACAATGTGAACAATTGACATGCAATTCTGCATTTTGTCACTTGTATACAATGTGCCCATTCTATTAAGGACTTACTTTGTAAGTACTATTTGAGACGGTGGAATTTGGTGGTTATTAACTTTCCAGAGTGATTTCGTATCTGCAGTATTTTCAGGATGTACTTAAATTCTTGCAAACTGTAGAATTGCATTCAGAATCAGTCAAACAAGGTCCACAATAAGGCCAAGTGACGACTGCCCTCTTATACCTCATTCAGTAACCATTCTTCCTGTGTGAGTCTAAGCACTGAGTTAGTGGAATGCTAAATAATTTGCCATCTGTATTATTATCTGATGAAGGCGACTGTCTCCATGCATAAAACGCCACTTATATCTCTGAAGAATACTGAATTATTTTTACCATTTTACAGAGTATTTGACATCGGTCCTTAAATTGGTACCCAGTGTAGCGGCTTCATCTGCTCATTCCTTTTTTTTCCCAAATAATTTGACTCCGTTATCCCCCCTCCTGAAGATACTGAAGACCCAATTCTCCACACTTCATATGACCATAAACAAAGGCAGGACTAATTGAGGGTTAACTTGTGAGTTGTGCTAACCATGTGTAAATATGTGCATGTAAGGATAGGGCTCAGGTGTGAGGTTGCCTGCAATCAAATGGCAAAACGTTAATGTGCACTAAATTTGGAATCTTCCAAATAAAAATGTGAACCTATCAATTTGGAAAGAATGGATGATTTATAGTTGTACATTTAATTGTTTTTGTCAAAATGCTTGGAGGAGTTAAATTAAATTAAAACTGGACACATTTCAATGGAGTCCTGTAGCTCAGTGGTTAGAGCGTTTGCTTTGCAAGCGTGAGACCTGGGTACGATTCCCGGCAGGGTGAAACCGTGGGCAAGTTTCCTTACTCCACACGCCTGATAATAATCCCTCAAGAAAAAAAGAATAAAAAATTGGTCACTTCAATCCACGACTGTTTTTGGGACACTGCTGTCGCATTTCACCTACAAAAATGCAGTCAATTCACTTTACAGTCTATTCTGTCCAGCATCTTGGGGCGTCCTCCTGACGTGAAAGGCGCTATACAAATGTAATCTTGTTGTTGTTGTATATCAAATACAAGGATTATTATTATTATTTCCAAAGTTTTTGGGATGTGAGCAACACTTTTGCAACCTACCTAAAAGCAGAGAGTGGTGTCTTTTACATCGCCACCCACAGACACAACATCAGGTATGTAGAAATACAAAAATCTAAATTTATGTGCATCTCCTTCCCCATATTAGGAAGAAGTAGAGCCTTTTCCAGAGGAAAGAGAGAATTTTTTGCAGCAACTTTACAAGTTCATGGAGGACCGAGGTGAGGGGCTTATGGTAGTTTACCGAGTTTAATGTGCCCGACAGTAATGTTTCTGAAGGTGATTGTTACACCTTCAATACATGAACTAAATTTTGTGGTTATTTATTTGAAGAAGTTGCCTATCTTACATCCACATCCACCTGGGGAATCTGCGTATGAGCCACAGGTCTTTTTCCACCATATTAATTGATGTTCTAGAGCAGTACTTGGGGAGCACTGCTTTGATGATCGGTCTTTCTGGAGCAACATTTGAGTGAGGTCCCATCTACTTTCCTTCACCTGGACGTTAAAGATTTCATGGCACAATTGGAAAAGTGAAGGAAATTTCCCCCAGATTAATTGGTTATTCGCTTCATGGCTGTTAATGGGTTGATAATTCTGCCATTATTTACCCACAAAAATGGTCACTACACTTGGGAGAAAGCTTGCTTAGCTCATTCGGTAGAAATCTCTCCTCTAAAGAAGCCTCATGTCGGGACTTCAAACTCAGTCTTGGCTAACATTCAGTATGGTGGTGGTGGGGCACACTATATTGTTAGAATTGCTGGTCTTTGGATGAGACGTCAAATCAAGGTTCTGCTTGGCTGTTCAGGTGGATGTTAAAGTACTCATGGCTCTATTCAAAAATAGTTTTTCCGAGTGCCCTAGCCAATGATTCCCCCCAAAACAAAATTGGGTCATTCACTTTGACGGATTGAAGATGGCTTCCTCCTTGAAGACTAGACACTATAACTGGAGCATGTTGTGTATTTGTAGCTGTGTTTCTGTCAAAGTGTGGAATTGATGTACAAATTAACATAAATAACCCTATTGACCAGTTAAATTATGTAATTTGTTAAAATGGCACTTTTATATTGACTGTTTGCTTCTTGTAGGTACTCCAATCAATAAACGTCCGGTGCTGGGATACAGGGATTTGAATTTGTTCAAGCTCTACAGACTTGTGGATAAACTAGGAGGGTTTGAGAAAGTAAGTAATTGTTTAAAGAGTTCTCTTTGGAGAATTGTTAACTGGAAACTTAGTATGGGTCTGTTTTTACGAAATGAAGCAAAGTTTTTTTTNAGGATCTGTGTGACAGCAAGTTAGTGGGGGAGAATGACTGGGTGAAAGGGTTTTCTTCAATCTATGCACCCAATGTCTGACACCACCTGAGACTAACTCGAAGAACACTTGCACTTTCCATTGAAGGTCACGACAGAAAGATCAGGAATGGGAATCCTGGCTGATTCCCTTGTCCAATTGTAGTGCTCATCCTGGTAACCCAACTGAGAATAACGTCGATCTAAATGACTCAATTTCACACTGGATCATGTTATAAATCAGGTCTGAAGCACAGTCTTGGTATGTACTAATTCTTATCTCCACTTAGTGCTCCCTTTCCTCAATATGACCAGGAAGTCTTTATTTGAGCGAGAGAAACCTATTAGTGCTCCATTTGCCCAGCATTGTATTCCACTGCCCACAATCCAGAGTTTTTACACCACGGGTAGAAGTGGTGTCTTTAAGAGATTAGATGCTTTCTACCTCTGCACCACCACAAAAACATATTTCACTTATATTCCCTGAGCTGGTTAGTTAATAGGTACAGCTGTTGTTGCACTGTAACTCCAATTAATTAAATTGAACTGCTTTCAAACTTCAAACTTGTCTCTAGGGTTACCTCACCCTTAAGCTTTCAGTCACAGCATTTGTGCTTGCTTTGATGGATGTCTGTTTCTTCAACATGGAATTAGTCATAAATTTCCTAGTTTGGTATGAACATTGGGCTCCCAGGATCAGGACCTTTCTTCAACTTTGCTGATTTCACTGGGTTACAAATCAACTTTTAGCAGGTTATTCTTTGTTCTTAACCTGTTGGCCCTCTGGTCTACATATAGAGATTGTTGTCTCTCTATGCGGACTTGTTCTGTACATTTAAGTTTACAAATTGCAACCCTGAAAAGATACTAAGCTTATAGTAAAAAAGCATCTCAATCTTGAGAGTGATTTTATTGATGTAATATTAAGACCAATACCTTAATATTTTGGGGGTCAGCTGGGTGTCTGACACTGACACATGTGGAATCCCATCACTATGCTTTAGAGTATCCAGACCAAACTAAGAGTTCCATATATCTCACCTGTACATGGAAATTTCAGGGATGTTTATTGGAATGGAATGCAGACTTAACTCCCTGGAGCGATGCATCCTGCTTATCTAATTTTGGAGAGTATAAGGTGCAGGTTGCCAAGGGACAAGGTCCAGAGTGTGCGATGGGGTACTGCTGAAGTCTTAACAAGCTAAAGCAGTGATCAAAAATCAAGAACAATTCTGGTGTGATTCTGAAACAAGGAAGGTTGATGGTATCATTGGTGGATTCTATTTGCTTCTCATTGTAGTTGCAGTGACTGCTTATGGCCTATCGGTGACCATAATTTCTGGTGGCTTTGTTTTGGACCTACATGTTGTGCTAGATTCATTTGAATGTTTGAGAAGTTGCCTGGAAATTTCAAGGGTTTGTAGACTTGGCTTTAGATTTTACAACCACATTGATTCCAATTTAAGATTGACGAATCCCTAGTGTGGCCTCAATATCAATGCTGAAAATGCCCTCGGAGATAGCATTCTTTTCATTTGCTTATTTTGCACACATTTTTCAGGAATGGGCTTTTTGTCCACTGGAAAAACACAAGGAATCACAAGGATATCTATCTGAGAGCTTTTATTTTCTGTAACTTTGTGTGAATCATGTTACTTTCACCTCTTTCCTCTCACTGTTCACTGTTCTTGTTTTGTTTAATAAAGAAGTTTCAGATAATTCTGCTTCATTAAATCCAGTTTTCTTCACCTGATAGTAGTAACTTAATAATAATAATCCTTGCATTTGATATAGCGCTTTTCACGTCTTCTAGACGTCCCAAAGTGCTTCACAGAATATACTGTAAAGTGAATTGACTGTATATTTGTTGGCGAACGCGGCAGCCAATTGCGCACAGCATGTCCCACAAACAGTCGTAGATTGAAAATGACCAATTTATTATTGTTTTGGTTTTTTGGAGGGATTATTATTTGTTTGGTATGCTTCATTGGATACCAGCAGTTGTTTTTAATCTTTCCTGCAGGTCAGTTTTCGTGTGTAGTCTGGGCACTTAATGTTGACCAGCTATTTGACCTTTTGGGACCTCACTGTTGAGCTCAAATCTGTGGTAGATGGCCACTTGTACAAATTGTCCAGCAGGGTACTTGCAATCAGGTGAAAACAGGAACTCTGTCTCCTGACTACCTAACCCCTCCACTGCTCGTTCAGTGATGAGATTAGTTATGCCATTTTTACTTTGTATATGTTTACATTTGAAGTGGAATTGCAGCTAGAAATGCATTAATAATAAAGGGCAAACAAGATTCTGGGTTTTATGAACAGATCATTTAATATAAAAATAAGGAGTGATAATTAATCTGTGTGACATTTATATGACACCTGTTTTAGGTACCACAATATACAAAGGATGTTAGAGCAATGGAAAGGGTCCACTATAGGTTATTATTATTATTATAAGGATGATAATGGGGAATGAAAGGATATAGCAGAGAAGATAGGACACTTTTGATTGGAGCAGAGAAGATTGAATGATGATATGATAGTGGTGTTTAAGATAATGAAAATGTTTGAAAAAATTAATTATAAAAACTATCCGTTAGTGGGTCTCTGGGGGGATGTTACATTGTTGGAGGTGTTGTCCTTTGGTTGAAATGTTAAACCAAGATCCCATCTGCTGTTCAGGTGGATGTTAAAGATCCCATGGCACTATATGAAAGTTTCTTCTGGTGTTCTGGCCAATAATCCCCCAAATAAAATTGGTCTCTCACTCCAAGGCTGTTTTGTAGGATACTGCTGTGCGTAACTGCTACTTTTCATCCCCAAAATACACAGTCAATCCACTTTACAGTATAGCCTGTGAGATTTCTTAATGACGTGATAAGGCGCTATATCAAATGCACAAATTATTATAGGGGATTTGAGAACGAGAGGTCATGAATTCGAAAAGTGGCTAAATGGCTTCCTACTGTGTTATACAGTTCTATGGTTCACTATTCTTATTTCTATTCTTTCTCTTGCCCCATCAGGCAGTTAGAGGTGGGATGGCCCATAAAATTCCATGATTTGAATTAGTGTTTCTCTTTCATACTCTCCTTGCCTCCAGAATTTGTTATGCGTGAAAGGTGCAATATAATTACTTGCATATAAAGGAAGAATTACCCCAAAGTTTGATGAAACCCATACCTACTGAAGATAGCTAAGAGTGCACACACACATTTAAAGGGCACTGTACTATTAAAAAGGGTGAAATCTATTTTTAGCCTTTTTATTTCTTCTGGTGGCTTTCCTTTTTGAAGGAAACAAGAAAAAAACCAATTGCTTGTGTTTCAATTAAATATTTTTAAAATGTCTGATGAAATAATGTAGGCATTAAACATTCTCTTCTCAGCCTGCAGAAACCTGAGTGAAAAATCCTTAAAAGCATCTTAGATATGTCTCTGAAGCAGTCAGAGGCATGAGAGGGCAGCAAAATCATTGATTGGACAGTGAAAGTATGATGTATAGTTGTGCTCCCATGATGTTCCTAGGGAGAAATAGTTCTAGTTGGAATATATTCACCAGGAAAATGAATTTGTCCAGGTACAATTATGTCAAATAAATAATAATTGATAAATATCCTATGCAACTTTAACTCTGATCACATAAGCAAATTTAAACTTGCCTTGACATTGCTCTGAGTAATGCAGTGATACATTTTAGCATGTTTTTCTGGAACAGATTGTTATCTGATGAATTGTTAATCTTGTGATATGGTACTATATTTGTTGAAATATACTTACTTACTGAATTATATCTTACAGATTGAGAGTGGTGCAGTTTGGAAGCAAATCTATCAGGACCTGGGAATCCCTGTGATGAATTCTGCAGCAGGATACAATGTTAAATGTGCATACAGGAAGTAAGTACTTCTTATATTTTATATTTGGTTCCTGTTTCACTAATGTGTCGTTAATATTAATTTTAGAAGTCTTCTAGACATCTCAAAGCGCTTCATAGAATATACTGTAAAGTGAATTGACTACATTTAGTGGGCAAAACGCGGTAGCCAATTGCGCACAGCAGTGTCCCACAAACAGTTGTGGATTGAGTGACCAAATTATTATTTGATCACACAATTTTTACCAAATTTAAATAGCCTATCCTCAATATACCACAAATTGTATTGTTTGGAAAATTTAGTTTTTGTGTTAAAAAGGATATTTTTGCAGAACAAATAAATTGTTCAAAAGGGTACTATGAAATACAGGATTAATATCAGTTATGAAGAAGATAACCTTTGATTTTGGCTTTTGGGGGATATCAGATATTTTTCTCAGAATATGTTGCATGTATTGAAGTTCCCTCTCAGCAACCTCAGTTTATTCAAGTTATATTAACAATATCAACTTCAGTTGATAAAGACCTAGAATCAAAGAATTATACGTATCCAAACAACTTGCTGTGTGGAAAAAAAAGTCGTCGCCTCCCCTCTGTTTCTTTTAAGGACTGTTTTAAATTGGTGTCCTCGGGTTACTGACCCGCTCGCCAGTGGAAATAGTTTCTCCTTGTTCACCCTATCGAATCCCCTCACAATTTTGAAAACTTCCATTAAGTCTCCCCTTAACCTTTGCTGCTCCAAGGAGAATAATCCCAGTTTCTCCAGCCTCTCCTGATAACTGAAGTCCTTCATTCCTGGTACCATCCTGGTAAATCTCCTTTGCACCCTCTCCAATGACTTGACATGCTTCTTAAAGTGTGGTGCCCAGAACTGAATGCAGTCTCTAGCTGAGGCCTAACCAGTGTTTTATAAAGGTTCATCATAACTTCCTGACTTTTGTATTCTGTGTCTCTATTTATAAAGCCAGGTATCCTGTAAGTGCTTTTAACAGCTTTATCTACCTGTCCTGCCACCTTCAAAGATTTACTTATATGAACCCCCAGGTATCTCTGACCTCAGGTAACTCACTGCACTACCTTTTAATCTAATTTTAGAAATGTCACAGGTAGTTCGAAGCCCATCAATGGTACCCAAGGCACGTTTTTAGTCGTAGTACGTGAAGCCTGCTTACTTCAGAGGTGCTGTGAAACAATATTAATACTGTAGCATATCCACCTGCTTGCATCATTTGTTACTCAATTTGCTTAAGAAATTATGTTGGTGGGATCTCTTTTTAGATGTCTTTGTGTGTAATTATAACTTTGTAAACATAGTTTAGGTTAAATTTGTTCCATTCCAAAAATATCCTTGACAGATGCAAATCATATTGAAATCTTGCTTCACTTCTTCAGCAAAAAGCAATAAATTCATGCTACTTTTATTAGTGTTTTTTAAAGAAAGCAGATTATGGATCACATTAAGGATCTGGGTGTCTTGGAGGGTCAGTGCTTATTTGGCTCTGTTCATGAAGCATGTCGAATCTTGCTGTGTACATTTTAATATAATTTCACATATCAAAAGATTCACTACACTTACCATACCGAGCAGAATAACCCCTGCTGCTGTTTTGTTTTTGAGCCATGGTTTAAAATTCATCTCATACTGGTGGAGATTAAATTTCCTCTCTTGGCAGCTGTGAAAGAAGTTTGAGCACTGAGCTCAGGCCTCATCAAACTGTCTAAAGCCCAAACTGCCCATAATTTTGATGTAATTCAGCAATCTCACTCTAAGGATGCATAATCGGTGATATATTTAATGGAAATATCACACCGTTGGGATACAGCATGCTTTGTCTGAGGTTGAATGCCGAGCATATTGCTGGGAGGGCGTAGTGCTGTTATACAACACGTTTGGTGAGTTTTTCCATCAAGAACGCATTATAAATGGAAGCTCAAAACATTGCGAATTTCACTGAAGTCCTGCTTCATCTGGAGGAGGTGTTTTCAAGAGATGTAAGACCCGCACCATTATAAATGGGGCAGCTGCAAATAGTACTGGACCAGACATTATTTCAGTGTTGTGCTTTTCAAAAGCAAGCTGCTGTTTACTAACAATAAAAACGAGCCCTATGATCTTGGTGCTCTATGCATCCGCCAAGGTGCACGTCCATAGAATGTCAAAATGGTGTATTTGGTCATTTTCTGTACTGGTTTGAAAGCTGTGTGAGGCAACGAGTATAAATCATCTTCTCACACCAGATGGTGTACTCCAGTCACTAACTGCAGCAGTAATATGAATTTAGTTGTGCTATCCCTGACCTGATGGTGCTTGATACTAACACTGAGTGTCTAAAGTGGACAAGTGTTCCATTTCCCACCATTGACATCTCTCACCTTGATGAGCATAAAACTCAGCCAAGAAACTTGGCAGATCATGTTCCAAGAATGCACTGCTTGCCACTGCGACAGCTGTTGGCAAGCTGACAAAAATGCTGGCAAAATTAACCATGAGGCAATGGGTACAATGTTAATTCTGTATTAGCCAATTTAAACTAAAGGAAGCTGATGGGCGTTCCTAGTGTTGGCATGTTTACCTACAATAGACTTTTTATTTGTACCACTGTTTTCTACTCTTCCCTGTTAAGAGTACCCCTGCTCATCATTCCATCTTCTTTTCATGCTTAAATAGCGTTCTTGGGATTATCAGTCTAATTATTTTCCAGGATCATAATCACTGTACTTTGTTGTTTTGGCAATTTTCAAACGTCTGTTTGCTTTCTCTGGTGTTTTGACTACTGTTTTGCAATGAGTTTCCACAAGCTTTTGTTAGCAAGAGAAGTAGCTTGTAAGCATATCTCTCATTTTATTTTAGCTCGGTTTGTTTTGGGTATGGAATGTTGCATGAGTGCTGTGTGCTATTTCTGTTGGACAGCGTGTGCCAGGCATTAATCCTTTGTCACAGTTAAGTGTGAATGTTCAATTCCTGGAATACACTAATATAGTGAGGGTTTGTAAAATAAACACAAATTGAGTTTTTAAACAAGCTGAATTTATGTTGGAAATGGTCACTCATAAAATGACTAGTATTTTCCAAAGCTGTTTCATTTGCATTGTTGGTGCAGCTGCTGTGTTGATCTTACAGTGTGACAGGGTTAATTGATTCTGTCTTGTAAATTGTCTTATGTGTAAGGCTTTACATAATTAGCTTCACCTTTGCTTTGGGTGAAGTCAAGTGTCCTACTTAATGATATTAGATTCCAAAATTCCTTGGATGTGCTTAGCAGTAAACTGCCAAATTTTCAGATAAAATTATAAATCTTGTCCTGTTTACTTCTATATTCTGGTTAAATAGTTATAACAGATACATGGCATTTAATGGATTAAATAGTTATAACAGATACATGGCATTTAATGGATAATATGCGAATTGGAAGAATATCTTGGACATGCCATGTCAATGTTAAACTGAACTAACTGAACACCTGTGTCTTCCAGATACCGCTTCATATTTCATTGTTAGCACACAGTGTGCCCACTGAACTCTTCTCCAGTTTATTCTGAATGTAAATAGTGAGGCTTGATGCAAAGTTCAGTACAGAGGCGGGGTAGCTGCTTTCATGTAATACGAAAGTAGAACTCCATTATAATATATCAAGCGCTCCAAAATGTTACCCTGCAGGAAGGGCACTATATCAATGCAAGTTGCTGTTTTGTTATAACGTGGGTTCACTTATACTGCGATTGTGATATGGACCAGACATGTACTTACTAAACATTATAAAATCTGTACAGGAAGGTGGCCGGCTCACTTCAAACCACCATGTCGGCTTTTTGTGTGCTAAAAAACACTTTAGCGCACAAAAAGGTTTCTGTGTTTTCAAGTGAGTATGCTTTCTGTGCTTATTTTAGAGTTTTTGGTGAGTAAATTACCGGTGATTGTGACCCATATGATGACATGAGTTATGGCCCCCCACTACCATGTTATAAAGGAACTTTATTGTATAATGTGTTACATAGCCAGTGCAGTACATGTTGAAAAGCAGATTAAATTGTATAGCATTATGATGTACTCCAGTTAATGAGCCATTTAGTTTTACAAATCTCTGTTCTTTTATTCCCTTCCACCTGGTTAAAATGGCATGGCATTATACTTGAAGCATTTTTCCCACCAATTTTCTCCTTTTCTTGAAAGCGTTTGATTTTTTTTCTTCTACTGGAATACTGTTTCACAGACTACAGGTGTCTTTCAGTTCTGTGTCCAACTAGTAATTATGTGTGAACCTTGGCAATGAGAATTGCTGGGTTATTCAAACGTGGCTCATCAGAACGAAGACCGATTGTAACTTCCTCTAACATCTGCACAAATGGACCTTCAGTATTATTGAATAGATAGTTGTTAGGAATAGGAAGCCCGGCTGATTTTTCTCCTTCTCTAACTTGGTGTATTGAGTCCATTGTCATGTCCCATCCACCGTCCTAGCTGAGATTAGTTAACTCAGCATAGAGTAGGATTTGAATTTCTCAGTTTTTCACGTTCCCCCGCCTAGCCCACCCCACCACTGATGGGTGGACCACTCTGCCCCCACTCCCTGGAACTCCATCCTGCAGTCGTTAAGCCTCGCCCCCTCCCTTGCCTCCTTCAAGACACTTCTCAAGACCCTCCACTTTGACCGTGCTTTTGATCCCACTGCTTCCCCCCTGCCCTACACCCTCCCCAATCCCAACCCCCAGTTTGAGTTTGAAAGATTGACTGTCCAGCGCCTTGGGACGTCATCCCAATGTGAAAGGCGCTATACAAATGTAATGTTGTTGTGGAGTCTTTACTCACTTGTCCATCATGTGAATGCTCAGAACCATAAACGTTGCAAGATGTCTTCTGATGTAAAATGAGTAGTAGCCTTTCATGCTCTCCTTGTGTTTGTAATATATTATCTAATTGTGTATTTCTCACAAAAACTGCCCCATTGATTATTGTATTCTAACAATAGATGAACAGTCTACAAGATTGCTGTGTTAGCCATTGTGGACTCGATTGGCTGAATGGCCTCCTTCTGCACTGTAGATTTCTGTATTTCTATGTTCCCACAAATATCAAAATCTGCACCTTACAAAGAGAGACAATCTGTTTAATTCTCAAATTGTTTGGTTTCTTTGAAGTTCTAACTGAGCATTACTCCTTCTCACTCTTCTCCCCCACCCCAGATACTTGTGCGGCTTTGAGGATTATTGCAAATCTGCTAACATTCGCTTTCAAACATCACTGCAAGGAGATTCAAAAGCAGACAAAAAGAAAAAAGAATGTGAAAAGGGTCACGATGATCGTGTTTGTAAAGAGGAAAAGGAACCAACTTTGAAAACTAATGAAGAAATGGAAGAAGTAAAGGGCAAAAAGGAATATGAAAGCAAAACTGCTGTGCATAGTGATAAAGCAAAAGACATTGAAACCAAATCCCTCAGGGTAAGTACACATTACGTTGTGTTGTCTCTAGTAACATTTATATACCTCATGGAGAATTGTTGCAGGGCTCTGGTCAATGCAGAATATTCCAGGGCACAAGGCTTGACTTGCTTCACTACAGAGGATTACATGGCACTCGGCTTGACATGCCTCATCGCTGAGTGTTACAGGGCACTGTCAGACAGGCAGTTGGCTAATTGGTTAGACTTGACTTACTTTACAGTAGAGTATTACAGGCACCAGACTGGGCATGTCTCACTGCAGAGATGACTGACTGTGGCAGTGATCAGCTGTTTTTACTCTACAGTAGATCAGTTATCAAATGTCTTATCATTAAATTAGATCTGTCCTGGTTTGGTAAGCTACAAGAAATTGGTGCTATATTAGCGATACAGTGCATTGAGATTTTTGATGGGAACTGAGTTAGATGGTGCTTTTTTAAAAAAGTAAAAGAACACTTCTGCTGGGAACTGGGACTTTCAGCTTACTGGACCAGCTCCTGATCTTCATCGGGAAGATGCAGAGGAAAAAGCACCTATAGAGTGGGAGGAAGAGGAACCTCTTTGGTTCAGGTCCTGTATCTCCTCATACAATACAAAATTACGCGTACATAGCGTCTGTCATGTTGGGAGGATGTCCCAAGGCTGGATAGCAACTTGTGTGTATTAGGAAAGGCCTGAAAGAAGATTGCCTGCTTATCTACTCTCTTAAGGGATGGGATGTAGTGTGGAGGAATGTGAAGGGAATTTGTGTAACATGAACTGGTGGTATTCTGTGTGACGGTTATTGCTTTAACCAAACTGCTTCATGTTTGTAGGGAAGGAAGAAACATCTCCCAGAATGTACATCACGGACAGACCCTGGAAAGGACAACAGCAGAGTAAAAACGGAGGACAGTGAAGGAAATAAAGATGATAAAATGGGTGAATTCAAAAAAGTTCTCCCAAAGTGCAAAATAGAAGAATTGAAGGCTGAAAAATCAGAGGATAAAGAAAAGCAGGGGTGAGTGTTTGCTAAAGATAAGTTAAGATTTAAGTGTTCAGGCCAGGTCTGCTGAGGAAACAATGCACCAGTTGAATTTAATGTAAACTGAGTTAAGTTATCTTCCTTTGGTTGTGGACTAGAGTGGCTAGTTCAGCAAATTGTGTTAAGATTTAATGCAGTCAAACGCAGCTTCTGTGGTCAGGCAGTAATGGGGAAAAGATAATCAGAGGTCAAATAGCCTATTTTATGTTGATTCCTATGACCTGGCTGGGATGTTGTTCAGCTGAAAGAAGTTAATTGTGTTAGATTGTAATGGATTGCTGTGATTGTAATGGACTGAAAAGGAAAAAAATAAAATTATCTCCATGTCTGGTGTAGGTGTTGCTTTTATGTTTGCGATTTAAAAATAGCTTTTAATGTTGGCAAAATGTCCAACTTCTAGAAAATACCAATTGACCAGATGGTTAGCACTTAGAAACAGCGAAACGTCATCTCCAATGCAAATCTTTTAAAGCCAATAATATATTGAACTTCACAAGAAGGATTTCAGTTCTTGCCATTGAAAAGGAAATTAATTTATTTTGTCTTAAGTGGGAGGAGAGTCTGAGTGTTTTGTTATAGAGTACTACTTTTTTAAAATATATGTTTGAGGATTTTTTACTTTTAATCCAGTGCTGTAACATATAGAGAGGAGCCCTGATTCCCAGAGAGGTTTATTTTAATGGGAACAGTAGCTTTGAACCAGCATGGGAGCCAGTCTAGAACTACCTGTCCTTGAATGAGTGCCGTGTACTGGGTACTGTGCAGGGTTTGTACTCCACTAAGTGAAGTACAGTATTTGAGTTGTTTGGCTGCTTGCCTTTAAATCTGATTGTCTTGACAATGGAGAAACGTTGGTGTCTTTCATTTTGTCTTGGTAATGGGAATTATACAGCATGTTCTTTGACCTGTAGGAACAATTGGTTGTAATTTACCTTTCCTTCCCCCTCCCTTCCCCATTGTCTGTGTATGCATCGTGCCATCCATGAACACAAGCATGTCATCTCTGTGAACTCCGAAATCCATTCTCAGATTTTTGCCAAACTTAAGTGTCTTGGACATTGTCATAACATTTTATTTCTGTTCTGTTTAATGATTCTGACACTTCCATGTTTATTTTTGAGAGCGTTAAGATTAAACAATCACACTAAATAAAGCAAATAATCCATGTAAAGTGAGAATTGCACCTCTATGTAGCTTCTCTTGTAACATTTTAGGTTGATTCTGAATGATCTTCAGATTTAGAACCACTTTAGTTTCTGAGTGTATTGCTCACTTTACTGCAGTTATGATTTGCAGTAGTGCTACTTTGAACTTTAGCTTATGTGCAGGACAAACTATTGAATGTGAGATTCAGATCAGATACAAGTAATAGGTTTAATAATTTTGTAAGAAATACAGTGGGTTTAATACATGCTGTTCACTAAATATGCATGCCATTATAAGGTCAGACCTTAAACTTTACCAGTATTAGTGAACAGCATGCATCAGATGCACCACATCACTCTAAACTCTTATTGTAATGTTTACTGCTCTTGAAAACATATTTTATAGAGTTCAGCTACTGTAGTCTCCGAATTGTTTTATGTTCCTTGGGTCCCTTTGGAGCAAAGTTACTGGAAGAGAAACTAGAATGTATTTTTTCTGCTCAAAAGGTTTTGGAGGAAAGGCTAGAAGAACACCAGTATATCTCAGTGCAGCACGGTAGCAATTATCTCTGAACATAAAACCGCAAAGGAGTAAACTGTTCATGTTTTTAAAAACACACATATTCTTCTTCGTTTACCTGGGGTTAGGGATGAAAGCATTAAAGAGGATGAGGAAGATGAAGAGGAGGAGGAGGAGGAGGAGGAAGAGGAAGAAGACGAGGAAGAGAGGGAAGACGAAGAGGAAGAATTTGAGTGTTATCCTTCAGGAATGAAAGTCCAAGTGAGATATGGCCGAGGGAGGAACCAGAAGCTGTATGAAGCCAGCATTAAAGATTGTGACATTGAGGGTGGAGAAGTTCTCTACCTAGTGCACTACTGTGGCTGGAATGTGAGGTGAGTTAGAAACTATAATAGCCTCTTGTAGTATTAAAGGGGAATTCTATAAAGATTTAATTATTCCAATAAACTTGCCTCCCTTTCCTGTTTGCGCTTCACACTTCTCTGCTGGTCTGCAGCTTTGCATCAAATGATTTGTAATTTGTGCCACAAGCTATTGATTCTATTGATGACGATTCTTCCATCATGGGTATTTTTTTCCTGCCGGAGGAATGCATCTTAATGTCCATTAGTAAATGTTACAGACATTGGCATTGTGCGCCTATAATGAGGAAATCCCAGTGTGAACTTGCTGTCAGGCCTAATAAATTCACCCAACAGACAAATCCTACCCCTGTATTCTTAAAACATTTTATTCAATACATTCCCCATTAATGTAAACTTCAAAGCTTCAGATAGTTTTGCTGTACATTGGCATTTGCTGACTGCTTATGGAATATTTAAAAAGCATTGGTAGTTACAAATAAATCCTAGATTCCTTTGCTGGGAGTTAGACCTTAAATATCATTAAAACTCTTTCTTCCCCTCAATGTCCGAATGTCAGCAGCTGTAGACTGGGGTATGAGATGCATACTTGAGGTGAAATTCCTCTCATTTGACCTACATTGAATAATGACCAATGTCACAAGGTCACAAGATTGGTTTGGATGAAAAAGGCCCTTCTGATCTCGTTCTTCCTATACACCCTGCCTACGGTACCCATCGTAGCATCAAAACACCTCAACCACCTTTTGGCAAGAACCTTACCATTGAACGAATTACACATCATTCAGAGTGCCTCTAAATCTTAGTAAACTGAAACAAATGGGTGAGAGAAGGAAACTTGAGTTGGTTCTTTAGAATACTGTAATGAGATTATTGAGTTTTTTTACATATTACTGGAATAAATGCTTCACCAAATTTTAAATAAACTTCAAAAGTGTCCTCCGTTCATTAAACATTTGGTTCATTTTGAAAACATGCATTTGCATGTCTTAATAGTGATCTTCCTATATAAATGCACCTTGCAGTTTTAAACCCAGTTTTAGTTCTTGTCATCCTCTCGTCTGTTTTCCTTTGAAAAGAAGCATGTTCAGAATCATCCATGTTGTGTTCATCCTTTTTTTTAAATAAACAAAAATGAGTGGAGCAGTGATACTGAGCTTTAATGCAATGAGGCTTTATATCGTAGAGTGGGATAAACCTGGATTCAATCCCTGCTCAGTTTCTCGTCTGAGTGATATTGAGCGAAGGTTATGGCATCTTTCTGCAGAAAGGAGGGAAAATCAGAAGGGTGAATTGTGCCGGGAATAGTACCTAGTGCTTATTGGTGGCAGTCTAGAAGCAGGCTATATGCCTGCCTCCTGACACAGAGGTGTAATGAGTTAGGTGAACTTTAAGGTTGGGTATAACTTTCAATTAAAACATTAATGCAGAAATTCACTTTAGAAATGTTGTGAAACTACTCCATTTCACCTGGGTTCCCTTTACATGGCCATTCAAAGATCACTCAGTGCATTGGGCTTTGTAAACATTCTGTGCATGATCCTTACTTTACCCCTCCCTCTGTACCCTATTAAATTTGAAAATGTTGTAGTTTTTATGGAACAGTCTGTCAGGAAGAGCTGAATATTTTTCATTTACATGATGGATTTGTTTTTTGTATCTATTTTACTGCCTTAAACATGGCACTTTTTAGCATTGCACTAATTTAATGGAAACTCTCAGTGCCAATTCAAAGCATAGGTTTGAAAATGCAAAGCCACTAAAGTGGCATATATAGTATTCATTTTGAAAAAATAAAATTGCTATAAAGCAATATAGTTCTGTTGCATCAGAACTACATTGAATGACTGTCCCCTTTGGATTACAATGACACTTGCAGGCCAGTGCTTCTCATCTATTAGGCAAGGTGTAGTTTACGAAGTGCAATATTATGCTCATGAAAATTAACACTGACTGCTGTTTAAAAATCATTTCCCATGTCCACCTGGAACATTTGTTTTAGCAATGTTTGAGTGACTTGACCAAGTAATTTCATTTGACTTAATTCTGCTATTAAAGGGCAAAATCCAGCAGTGTTAATTTTTACAATATTGCACTTTGTAAAATACACCTTGCCTTGTGTATAGCCCTGTGAAACTTTGATAGTTTCCGAACTTCATATGCATCAGTTCTCTGTTTCCTCATCTCCATTACAGTGGACTAAGTTTGTTTTTTTGATTGTTAGATATGATGAATGGATAAAGGCAGACAAGATAGTCCGACCAGCAGACAAAAATGTGCCAAAAATAAAACACAGAAAGAAAATAAAGGTAAGTGCTTTTTTGTATAGTTATAACTTTTAGGCCATGTAATTGAGTGCATGATGAGGTATGGCACGTTACTAATAATGAATTAAGACTATTGTCATAGATGAATTTTGCAGCAGAAATGTGGTATGATGCTCTTTTTCCCCTTCGGGTTTTCTAATTCTCTTATTTATACTGCCGTAGTCTGATGCTCCAGGGAATGTTAAAGGGAGTTTGTCCTTCCCATTGCATTTTGCATTGCACGAGAATTCAGTGAATGACGATCAGGGGTTCCACATGATTTCTTACCCTCAGGACACTGAAACCAATTATAAAACTCCAGCTGTAGCCCTAACTGAGATCAGCTAACTAAACACAGAGCTAGGTCTAAACTTTAACATTTCCTAAGTTCTGCATCATAATGCCACATTATACAATGTATTTTACCCACTGATCCATGAGAAGACAACAGGACACGGATTGCAAAGGACAATTTTAGGACAGACATCAGGAAGTATTTCTTTACCCAGCGGGTGATTGGAATAGACTACCAGGAAGGGTGGGTGAGCCAGACACAGGAATCGTTTAAAAAAAATCGATACTGTGAAGGAAGTGATGGGTATTCTGAAAGGATGAGATCAAATGGGCTGAGGGACCTTCTTTGTCCGAACCTCTCTTGTGATCTTATAATCTTGACTGCCGCTAGGAACCCAATAATTGAGGCGAAAGTGACTTCCTTGCCTCACAAAAAGTGCAACTCTTCAAAACTGACTATGGAATATTACCTTGTAGACGTTACAGAAGATATTATGGTCCTGAAGTCACATCAGTCTCTTCCGTTGACACGAATGCTAGTATTTTGGGGCAAGGAATAGTGGCAAGTGAGAGCATGAATGCTGGTAATTTAGGGGAAGGAATAGAGGCAAGATAACAGTGTGAAATCGCTCATAGACCAATAACAATAGAAAATGCTGCGAACAAGCCAATTGGTAAATACATTAGCTTTCCTATTCGCAATTCATGCTAAGTTTATTTGGATTACAACATTAAAGCACACATCATCTTTCATTTTCTTTTACATTCAACATGTTGTTTTCACTTTGTTTTCCTAGTCTATTTTAAGTAAAAGGATCATCAAAATGAATAACTCTTTCCTGTAAATATTAATACTACATTTGCTGAATTGTTCAGTGATGATTTTCCCTGACTCAGATATTAAACAGTCTTTATTAGTTTCATTCTGACCAAGATGTGTAATTGAAGCATTTGGTAATGAATTTGATTTGGCAATATTGCTAATATTCAACAATTTACAATAACAGTTGTTCTGTACTAGTTATAACAATATGTTGTTGCGTTTTTTAAAACTTTTTTTGTGAATGTCACTTGCTGTCTGTGGTACAGATTGCAATAGATTTACAAAATAGCCTGAATTCTGTTCTTGCCTTTTTTACACTAGGCTGGTTCATATTCATGTATCTTTACTGTTCAAATGTGTAATATGATCAGTTGTTATCTATAGTTAATCTCAGTTAAACGTTTTGTAAACTAAAAAGTGGAATTTCCCTGAGGAATTATTTATTCTGTTCACCCACATTTCAGAGCAAAGCAGATAAGGAAAAGGATGAAAAAAAGGACAAAGAAGAGAAATCTTCCAACAAATCTGTGCGGGCTCGCCGGCCCTCAAAGTCAACAGCTCATTCGGTATCTTCAGACGGTGCTTCGAAGGTAGCTGGAATTGGGACTAGAAGCTGTGAGAGCAATTCTACAGACATCTCTACCATCCTTAATGGCCTGCAAGGTATGATTATATTTTTAGAATTACAGCATGAGGTTTGCATGGTAATTCACACTTTAGTATGAGTTTCTTTTTTTAAAACAAATGAATTATACTTAATGTACATAACAGTTGTTACGATCATTATTTTAGTGTTCACCTTGTCATACTGACAGAGTTCAGTAACTAATGATACTGCTGTTGTATTCGAAAACCATACCTGAGTCAGGCTATCCCCAGTATGTTCACAGCTGTATTCTAGAGTAATTTTAAAGGTGGAATCCTCACTGAAGGCTGCAGATAAGTTGTAAGAGTCATGTTTGTAGTTCATGATATCATCTAAACCACTCAGTTACTTTACAGCCTTGTTATCACCCTTTTAACTTAATGTGCTCAATAATCTCACCCACAAATCCCTTCATGTCCTAGCACTCCCTACTTCTCTGTAGCTGTAGCCCACTTCCCTGTCTGCCCTCTTCGCTGAGCGAACACAGGCCTGCTAAGCGTTCCCTGATCAGTTTTTACTACCATCAGTTTTTAAGTCACTGCTCCCCTAACCTCTGGCCCTCCGTCTCCCCCTTTTATCTAACTTTAAATCCCTCCTTAAGACTTAACTCTTCGACTGTGCCCATGGTCACCTCCCCTTTCCCCTCTCGCTTACTGTCCAACCCGCCCTTTGTGCAGCGCTCCGAGCCACTATCCTGTACGAAGGATACTATATAAATGCAATGTAAGTTGTTTTGTGGGTTAGTGTGTAATTATAGGCTGAACTTCCAAAAATAATAGTAAATAAGGGTTTCTTTATACACTGCACTTTGAGTTTTCTCTGAACTGCTGCAGAGTATTTCTTGATAACTATGTGGGAAGAGCACCACAGTCATTTGTTCTCTTATGTTAATATCCTCCTACACCAAGACGTGGAGGACAATGATAGTTGGTGTCTGGCTTTGAAATTCATGCAGTACATTGAATTGAATGGGGAAACACAATTTTGTTGCATTCCACCCTCCAGAAATGGTGTGAGCACATAATTTAAAAACTTGTACCCGTTAGAATTCATTACTCCTATCTATCTGTTGTAGTACATTATTTACTGGACTACATTGCATTCTGCCCTCCATATATAGTCTGAGCCACATAATAAATAAATATCTTGTACTCATTAGAATTCACTACTCCTACCGGTTACAATACGTTACTTACTGCACTACATTCTTCTCAAAGGAGACCTGACAAATTCAGCTGGACAAAGACTCCGGTTCACAGCCAGATGGTGTTAGTCATGCAATGGGGTCAATGATGCCCATTACTATGAACAGGGATGGACATCCTTTGAATGCAGCTCTGAGGATGTCCTTAAATAATACCTTAGTGGTCGAGGTAAACTGTATAACAACCTTCAGATCTCAAGGTTGGTCTCTGATCTTAACTGAAAACTCCTTGAGACTGTTGTGGTCTGTTATTTAAACACTTCTGCCCTGTAATCAGTCCCAGTTACTTGTTATCTGTGCAATACGTACAAAGGACTGGGCTTCCCTGTAATATTATTAAAAGGGCAAACTGGATTCCCAAATTCAAAAGTAATTTTCGCAGATGAATGTTTCCATAGTAATTTTCATTATTTGTTCATTGTACATAATAATAATCCTTGCATTTAGTATGTTTGTGGCATTCCATCATCCAAATATGGTGTGAGCATATAATTAAACAAACTTGTACCTGTTACTTCAACACATTTGAAGTGGTGCTGAGGCCTGTGTTTCTATTAACAGCTTCAGAAAGTTCTGCGGAGAGTGAGAATGAAGATGCAAAGAGTTACCAAACTGAAGAAAACTGGAGAAAAGGCCTACAAGAGGATAGCATGAAAGCAGAGAGGAAAGAGCTTAGTCAGCAGGGTGAGAAGAGTCCTTCTACACGCGAACTGCCTGTAACGACTTCAAGTGGCACAAAGTCAGGGGCTATTTCGGATGCTCTGGAGTGGATGAGAAAAGAAATACATTCAGAGGATGAGGAGGAAGAAGAGCCCACAAGAGCAAAAGCTTTGGTCCAAAAAGAAGTAGTGGAAAAACGTACAAAATCACAGATCAAACGAGTCCGAAGGCGAAAGCTAAACACTGAAGACTGGATGAAAACAGGGTCATCCAGCCGAAAGGATGAAAGATCAAAGGGCAAAGAATCGCCCATCAACAGCACAAGCAGCAGTAGCAGCAGCTCTGATGAGGATGATGAAAAAAGTGACGCAAAAAACACTCCTTCCAAAAAACACAATGGCCTACAGGACAAGAGGAAACCTCTGCACACAGCTGGTTTATATTCGAGTTTCTCAGAAGTGCCCGAGAAAAGGATTAAGCTTTTAAATAACTCGGAAGCAAGGGCTCAGAATGTAAAAGTAAAAGACCGAAAAGATGTGTGGTCAAGTATTCAGGTTCAGTGGCCTAAAAAAGTTCTTAAGGAACTCTTTTCCGACTCTGACACCGAGGCCACATCACCTCCGCCAGTGACACCTGAGGAGGTAAAATCTGAGGTGCAGGCAGAGGCTGCCAAAGAAGTTGAGAGGTTGTGCCCTGTTGAAGCAGAAACAGCACTGCCAGCCGTCTCACCAGTTAAACCTACTGAGGAGAAGCCAACTGAAAAACATGATAAAAAAAGCGAAATACCAAGCAGTGGCAGTAATTCAGTGCTCAACACTCCACCTACTACCCCTGAGTCACCTGTGTCGGTCACAGTGACTGAATCGACAAGGCCGCAACCAAATGCTGGACTCCCGGAAACCTTAGCTCCAAGTCAGGAGGAAGTGCAGAGTATTAAGAGTGAAACTGATAGCACCATTGAGGTAGATAGTGTAACTGGGGAGCTACAAGAAGGACAGTCGGAGGGCAATGTCTCCCCAACAGGGTTTGATGCAAGCATTAGCTCCAGCAGCAGTAACCAACCTGAACCGGAGCACAAGGAAAAAGGTAAGCTAGCGCTCAGCAATGTTATTGTGTTAAAGGGTCATCTAATACTTCTAATGCAATATGTTGTAAGGTTATTGGCTGGAAATTTAGGGAATTCAGATTGAATTGAGTTGAGTTTCTTGTGTGTCAAAGGATGCATTCATTGTGCCTTTTATGTGATCTAATACTATTAAACACTGAGAGCAGGTATTCACTGTAATATCAGTTATGCTGTCAAGTGTGCTTTGCTGTAGACGATCTTGAGGGCTTCTGTTTGACTAAGTTAGAGCTGAAGCTTTATACTGTGAAAGTTCATTAACCAAAACAATATAGGATTGTACAAGAAAATGCAGCATGCCAATAACAATCATAATAATAATAAATCATCCTTGCATTTGATCTAACGCCTTTCACATCGGGAGGATGTCTCCAAGCGCTTCACAGGATTTATGGCATCCTGTAACGGATTGGTTGGAGCACTCGCCTTGCAAGTGAGAGGACCCGGGTTCGATTCCCGGCAGGGCGAAACCTTAGGCAAGTTTCCTTATTCCACACGCCTCTGTTTGCCTACCAGTTAATAAGAACTTGTTTGTCAGTTGATTGGAGGATCACTTTCAGGGGGTAATACTCCCTTCAAAAAATAAAGAAATAAAAAAGAATTTGATCACTCAATCCATGACTGTTTGTGGGACACTGCTGTGCGCAATTGGTTGTCGCATTTCGCCCACAAAATATACAGTCATTTCACCTTACAGTATATTCTGTGAAGCACTATGAGGTGTCTAAAGGACTATTTTGTTGGTAAATGTGGCAGCCAGTTTAATGTGAGACATTAATGTCTCACAAACAGCCATGAGGTGAATTACTGATTTTATTTGAGGGATTGTTCGCCAGAGTACAACAAACTCCCTTGTGTTTTCAAACAGTGCCATGGAATCTTTACCGGCTACCTGAACAGGCAGATGGGACTTAGTTTAATATCTCAACTGAAGATTATATATGTATTTCAATATATAATTTATATATATTGAAATACATGTTTCATGTAGCTTTGTGTTGCCAATCGTTTTAGCTGGTGTAGTAGGGGTGGGTGTGAGTAATGTACAGTGGTTTGTTAACTGTTAATATACTTTAGTTTGCATGTAATTCAATAACAGATTCGTTTTCTACCAGTGAGGAATGCATCTTCTGACTTGTACAAGTACCAGCATGCTTTGGGGAATTTGTGTGTGTTTTTCATAATTTGACATTTTAAATATTAGTTCTAAAGAGGTGCTGTTTCGCTAGAACATTGTTTTTTTTAAAAAACAAATACCTTCTCTTGGAGACTGGAAGAGTTTGTCCCTCAAAGAACAAATCATTGATAATGGGAACATTTCCTTGTCTTGTCTGAATATTTTACAACTTGACATTGTATTCAGTTAGCATTAGTAAAGGAAATAAAATACCACAAGAATCCACTTTTCAAATTGTTTCCACAAATTTTGGAGCATGTTATAAGGTCTACAATGTAATTTCAGGACCCACCCCGTACAGTTTAATTATTTGTAGATATACTGGATTCAGAGAAAAGGTAAAGTGGAGAACAAAAATGAGCTTGAAGTGTTGCACTATTGAGAGTCTCTAATGATAGTGTGAGTAAAGCTTCAGTGAGAATTAAGTCATCAAAACTCACTGAATGTCACCCACAGTCTGTATAATATTTCCAACCATCTTTTTGTTGTATAATCTTAAGATTATTTTTTGTTGGTGTGCTTCACTGCTATGGCTGCACTTCAGCTCTAACCTGCTCAGACATCATTATAGCTACTGCATGTCATTTAGGGTGAAGGTATTTTTTGACGACAGGGAAGTACTAGAAATTGTGTACTAGTGGAGGGAATACTTACAATACTGACACTGTTACTGGCATAGTGTTCCAATGTGGAAGCATCAATAGATTCCTTATCAATGCTCAACTTGCATTACATTGCCCATTTCAAAGTACACCAGCTGCTGGCTTGGCTGAGATCAATTCTGCCCAGGCCAGTAATCGAATGTTCAACTTAATGGTCTGTGTTGCTCAGTGCTACTCCTGACTGTCCCTTTACATGTCTTGGCCATCGGGTAAACAGTACCAGATGTTTAAAGTGATGGAGTCGCTGTTAGTTTTTGTTGTATGGACAACAACCTATTTATTTGAATGCAGAGGTTAAACCGTGAAGGTGAACAAGGAAACTCTTCATTACATAATCTTAATAATAAAGATTCAGACATTATTGGGTCTGAACTTGTCGTTTGGCATTTTGAACAAGCCATTTTGTATTTTGTTCCATACAAAACGTTACTGAGGTTTTGACATTTTTTCTTGTTCCTATTTCCTGTAAGTAATCAGTTGGTTCAATTGATACACATGCCTCCTTGTGTTTACCTTGTGTTACTGCTAGTCTTACCCTGATTCAGATTATGTGCTGCTGTGAAATAACAGTTTTTATTAGGTAGGGATGTAGAACACTATTGGTAAACCTTGAAAAGCAGATGGCTCATTAGTGTAATGTGATTGTAACTGTTGTACTTGCAACTTTTTTTGTGTTCTGGGTAGAGAAGATTAAATGAAGTAGGGATTTGTTAAAGGCTTTAGAAGTAAGACTAATGCTGTTCACCTTTGTGTGTCTTTGAATTAAACTACTTTAACTGCTTTAACCCCCAGTTACTACCAGCCACAAAAGACCAAAAGATGCTCAGGGAGGAAACTCAACCAAGAAGCAGAAACGTAGTCACAAACGTTCAGGGATTAACAATAAAAAGAAAAATCGGACTGGTGAGGAACTCTAATGATTTCTGTTCATGTTTAACAATATAACTGTCCGTCCATGCTTAGTGGTTGCTGCTTGTTTTTTCCTTATGGAAATGATTTTCTTGCTATGAGGCATTGCTGGATGCACAGACCGCTTCTATCCTTTCATTGTGCTGTTCTGAATCCAGCTCTAATTTCATACAAGAGCAGCCAGAATTACACTCCCTTTCATTATTCTCCAATAATCCACAATCCCTCTTTATGGAGCCTGTCTAACCTCCGATTATTGACTTCCGTTATATCACGTTCTGTCATTTAAATACTTCACATTCTAAAGACTCAGTGGAGAAAATAAGTTCACAAAGTCTTTGCTCTCCTAACACTTTTCTTACCTGCTCTGAAGAGTCCCAACTGCTTTAAATGGCTGCTTGATGGTGCCTGTTAATGGAGAGTCCCTAGTGTGAATAAGTAATGTGTTGGCATTTTATGCTCCAACAATAGTGCTGCTTTTTGTGTCAGCAAATAGGAATTAAGCTTGCAACAATGAAAGGCTGACTTCATATATGATCTGTATGAAATAAGTGCCCCATTTCTAATGTATTTTTCCCTTCCCATTTGCTTTTGCCCCTAAAAACTGTCACTTGAAAGTGAAACTGAGTATTTTGCTAACATGTGTTGTTCTCATCCTGTGGGGAATGCATGGCTTCTTCTTCAACTTTCTTCAGCTCAACGTGCGAAAAACCGAGGCCCTCCTGATTGGCTCGCGTCAGCGCCTCCGCACCTCAGGCGCCGACACCATCAGCATCCAAGGCTGCACTCTCCACCTCTCAAAGCCAGTCAGGAACCTCGGCGTTTTGTTCGACCCTGAGCTGTCCTTTCTCCCTCACATCCGCACCACAACTGGCACCGCCTTCCATCACCTCCGGAACATCGCCAGACTACGGCACTACCTCACCCCTCACGCTGCTGAAACCCTGGTCCACGCCTTTGTCACCTCAAGGCTGGACTATGGGAACTCTCTCCTCGCCGGCCTTCCCGGCACCTCCCTCCACAAGCTGCAGGTCATTCAGAACTCTGCAGCTCGTGTACTGTCCCGCACCAGGCTTCGGACCACATCACTCCCACCCTCACTCGCCTCCACTGGCTCCCCATCCCCCAGAGGATTGATTTCAAGATCCTCATCCTCACCTACAAGGCCATTCACGGCCTTGCTCCCTCCTACCTCTCTGACCTACTATCCCCCTACCTACCTGCCCGTACCCTCCGTTCCTCCGGCTCCGGTCTGCTCCACGTCCCCCGCCCCAATCGCCCTACCATCGGTGGTCGGGCCTTCAGCCTCTCAGCCCCTAGGCTCTGGAACTCTATCCCCCAGTGCTTTCGCCGCCTCCTCCCTTTCCTCCTTCAAGGCCGGTCTCAAAACCTTTCTCTTTGACCGAGCCATCAGCTCCCCTCTCAACTCTCTTCCCCCTCCTCGCTCCCTCCCGTCCCTCCCCTCACCATTTCTCCCCTCCTCGCGCCCTCCCTACCCTCCCCTCACCCTGACCATTTCCCCCCTGCTCGGGTCATGACCCAACTGTGCAGCGCCTTGGGACGTCCTCCTGACGTGAAAGGCGCTTTACAAATGGAATGTTGTTGTTGTTGTTGTTGTTTCTACATTGTGCATCCGCTGCAAATATAGGCAGTCTCAGGAGCTTGCTCTGCCTTGACATACAGAGAGATGTTGTCATAGATATATTAACATTTCCCTAATTCAATACTTAACTTATCAACTTAGTGGAAGATCATTCCTGGTTTCTTAGTTATTGGGAACTGGACTTGGAACCAGAAGGTTCTTGGTTTGAACACGAATAGGTTCACTGAGCTTTTCAAGGTCAGTGAAAAATGTTTTCCAATGCATCACCACTTGAGTTGGGTTGCAGTTCAGTTCATTGTCTTTTAATCACTCCTATTTATCTATAGTGCTGCAAATCTTTCATTTGAGATATTTCTAAGAAACAATTTTCTGTGCAATATTTCAGAATTCAGTGCATATTATTTCCAAATGATTTAAAATTATCATTTGAAAGAATTTTAGTCAAGTTTCTTGCACAAACAAAATAAAAAATCATTTCTTCTATTAATTATTCTTTTCTATTTCTGACGTCCCAGTTACTAACTGAGCATGACTTTCTTCTCTTCTGTGTTCTACAGCAAACAGCAGTGACAGTGAAGAATTATCTGCTGGTGAAAATACTGCCAAATCTGTGCCACTGAAAAAGAACTCCATAGTACCATCAGGCCCAAATTCTCCCCCAGGCAGTGCATCTCCTGCCAAAGTATTGTCCCCTGGAAAATCTGCTAGAAATGGAGAGAAGGATGCTGCACGAGAACATAAAGAGCAGAATAACAGGTCACCACCCAGAACCTATAAATGGAGCATTCAAAAGGGTGAGTGAACTCTTATTTAAATAATGGTTTTATCTCTGTGTCCTTTTATATGTATATAAATTTGGTGTTAATTTTTCTAGGTATCATTTTCTCTGCATGGACATGGGTTTCTCTGTGTCTGGTCTGGCCTACCCTTGCTGGGCTGGGTTTCCACTGTTGCTGGTTGCCCTCCAGGACTTTGCTAAAAAAAGAGTAGGGAAGTTATGGTTAATCTATACAAAACACTGGTTAGGCCTCAGCTGGAGTACTGCGTCCAGTTCTGGGCACCTTACTTCAGGAAGGACATTAAGGCACTGGAAAGGGTGCAGAGGAGATTCACGAGAATGATACCAGGAATGGGGAACCTTAGCTATGAGGAGGCTGGAGAAGTTAGGACTTTTCCCATTAAAGCAGAGAAGGTTACGCGGGGACCTGATAGAGGTCTTCAAGATCATGAAAGGTTTCGACAGGCCAGATAAGGAAAAGCTGTTTCTGCTGGTAGGTGTGTCTGTGACCTGTGGTCACAGTCTTAAGATATCTACCAAAAGAAGCAGAGGGGAGGTTAGAAGAAATTTTTTCACTCAGCGAGTTGTTCGAATTTGGAATGATCTGCCTGAAAGGGTAGTGAAGTCCGATTCAATAACAACTTTTAAGAGAGAACTGGATAGGTATCTGGGGAAGACGGGTTTGCAGGGTTATGGGGAGAAAGCTGGTGATTGGGGTTAGTGAAAGTGACTTGCTCTGTCAGAGCCGGCACAGACTCGATGGGCCGAATGGCCTCCTTCTGTGCCGTAACATTCTATGAATCTGTGAATCTACAACCAGTGTTCACGTGTGTGCCTGATCAGCGAATGTCAGAATCACTAGACTATAGAGGAATGACAGCCAAGCCTGACCTCTCCCACGTGGCTGTCGTTAACAGTAGAGAGACCAGGAGCAGGAACCCTTGCTGTTTTTTCCCTCCATAGCTCTGGGAAGGCTGGGACGAATTTAGCTTTCCCATGCAGACCAGGAAGCCCAACACAAGACTGAAATTTGACTAGTGTGCTCCTGGTCTAGAGGCCGCAGCTCTATGTATTGCACCATCTTGGCTGCCCCATGTCCCTGTAACCTTATGGTTTCTTGATGGTGCAGCTCAGCATATCAGCTTCAGGCTTCACATGCTGTGCAGCACTTTTGTTCCAATGATCAATGATCCTCTGTAGTCTGGATCATGGACTTGGAAGACCAGGATCAAATTGCTGACTTGGGCACCTGACCAGTGCTACCCCCTGAACAAAACTGTCAGCTCGAATGCAATTAAGATAATATGTAGTAACATTAAAATAGTGCCTCGTACCGATAGTTTGGAGAAAGTGTGCTCTGACATTGACCATCTTTCATTGTAAATCTCTGATTACAGCTGATCTTGAAAATATGGCCAGTGCAGAACGTATTGGTTTCCTTCAGGAGAAGCTGCAGGAAATAAGAAGACATTATCTCTCTCTGAAATCTGAGGTAGCCTCTATCGACAGAAGAAGAAAACGCATGAAAAAAAAGGACCGCGATAGTAAGTTCTTAAATTTTAACTTCATATATATTTCCACATTTTCCCTTAGAACAAGCACGTTTTAACACTGGGTGTTCTCTCTCTCTCTCTCTGCTAAAATGTGAATTGCTGGGTTTTATGAAATATCTGTGAAGTACTTGCTGTTTTTCATCCATCATATGGAATTGCAGCAGTCTTAAGTTGATTACTTCAGTCTGCTGTGACCTGATACAGTAATGAACAGAGGAGAGAGATTGGCTCTGTAGCGATAAATCACATTTGTCAAGGTAACAAAATTTGGAACTTCCTTTTGCTTCACCATGTCATTGCCCACTATTATTCTTCATTCTGTATCCTCTACACACTGCTGGAGTTATCCGGAAGCATCAGAACTCGTCTTACTTTGATTTATATGGCGGAAGTTACATTTGTACCTGAATCATGAAGACTATTTGGAAGCAAAATTCTACTAGGGCTCTTGTCTCATAATGGGACATTAAAGTGTTCTACAACCTGGTATCTGAGCTCGACTTTAAAATGTCACCATGAAATACTTGATGGCTCTGGTTTCTGCTGCTGGGTTAGTGAAATCCAGGAACTGATGTTATTTCATTTGCCATTCTGACTAAGCGGTGTATCACGCAATTGCAGATTGTATTACACTTTCATTTAGGTTATCATTCCTTTATTCTGTCCACCTCCATTCAATTCCAAGCCAGTTCCTCTCTCTGTAAATATTTGTTTTTTGAGCCAACTCAACAGATAGAAATAAACCGTTCAGACAATTGATTCAAATCAATAGTTGGATCTGACAGCTACGAGTGATACAGTCACTCTTAATGGTAGTAGCAAATATTCAAATGAGAACTTTGAAGGCCAAAGTGGAGAAGGTTCCATGTGAACAGCAGTTGAACATGGGTGAGTCGGTCCTGAGAGATAGGCAATTGCCGTTCCGAAGTCCCTAACCCTAATAAGTTGTGACTTCTGACAGATTTAACAACTGCCTTTCCCTCCTTAGCAGATATTTCCATAGGTTAGCTCAGCTAATTAAAACCAATTGACACTGAGACACATGCTCTGCACCTTTTATGCTGTGCAGAATTTAGAGCACATGCGACAGCACTGTCTCTTGGTCTCTGGAGGGCACAAAAATCAAACACCAAACTGTACCTTTCAGCCAAACCATGATCTCGGGCCGACTCAACTCCAGTGCTGTGTGAAGGATGGTGTCATTCATAGAAAGATCGTTGTGAAGAGCCTATAATGTGGGTGGGCTTTTTTTTGTAGCTTGTCTTAATTTTTATATTGATGTTATAGTTCTGCTGCATTGCTAAGGGCTGATTCATTCCTTCAGTAAATAAATTAGGTACATATTTTAGAGTGAGTAAAGGGGAAGCGCACACACATTAATGGGATTAATACCAGTGGGGACCCTTGCTCAGTCAAAGACAGGCTGCTGCTTTTATGTATGGGCAACCAAACGCTGAAATGAAGCAACTAACTCTTCCTCTTCCCCCACCCATCATCACACAAGATGATGTTACAAGAAGAATCCTGTGTGATATTGCAAATATAAGTTACTGCTGCTGGTGCTCTGCTAAATACCTTCATTATCACACATTGACCAAATGCAATTCACTCATAATGCAAGTATGGAATGTGTCTACATGAAATGTGGAAGCTGGATTATTAGGTGGGGTGCTCCAAAGGCGCTGTCCTATTGGCCTATCCAGACTGGAAGGTTTCCAGTTCAAATTCCTGTCTGTGCTGATTTCAGGCAGGGTTGCAGTTGGGTCTCTACAATTGGTCTCAGCTCTGCTGGGTTAGCGAAGGATCCTGCTCCTGATCGCTGACCGGAGACACCTTCTGGAACAAAGCGCCCATTATTCACATGTGTGCCTTGACAGTGTTATTGCTTGTGCTCTGCTAAATACCTTCATTGTCTGTGGAACTGCACCCCAGTAGGAAGAAAAAAGGACAAACCATCTCCAGGTGGTGATGATAGAAAAAGGAGAAATTTGGAGGAGGAAAATCAGCAATTTAATTTTAAAAAAACCTGTCAGGTTAACAGAGGTACATGTTCATTGCTTTCATAACTATTTTTTTAACCTACAGCAAATGCATCCGCAACAACTGCATCATCATCCTCTTCGCCTTCGTCCAGCTCCCTCACAGCGGCTGTCATGTTAACATTGGCTGACCCATCCGTATCCAACTCGGCACAAAATGGAGTGTCGGTGGAATGTAGGTGATGAAAGGACCTCCCAAGGCACAGTGCACTTAATGACTCCTGGGGCTCTTTTAATTTTATTTCTATTTTTAATGTTTAAATGCTGGATAGAGGCACGAAAAAAATTCAGCTAGCACTATACTCCACGAAAACTGCTTCTCAGCAAAATAGCACTTAAGTGCACTTTCATGAAGAGAAAAGTACAATGAAGTGTTATCTCGGAGCAATAACCATTTGCAGTCTGTCTGGGAATCGTGTAACTGTTGAAAACAGGCCTTATTTTTAAGTTTGGGCAGAAAATGGCTTTAGCCAGTTTTACTTCCTGAAGAAACCTTATAAAACGCATCATTTACTTGGGCATATTTTATAAGCTACAGCTGCTTACACATGATTTTGATTTTTTTTCTGTAAAGCTGGACCATTTGATGATCTCTGATATGATATTCTCTCAGATCTATGTTTTAGCGCACAAGCTTGCCATTTCTTTATGGGTTTTATCGTTACTGTTTTTTTTAAAAAAGTTTTTAAAAAAAGTTGCTTGCATTATTTTGTGTAACACAAGCACATGTAACAATTTCAAAGGCTACAGGTGTACAGTAATTGCTGGAATATAGTGCTTTGGGCATCAGCCTTTAGTGTGTAACCAAATGCATATGAGATTCCTTTTTGATTACTGCCTTGTGTTTACAGGTTTGGATATAGGGAAAGGTTACAGTGAGTTTTCCCTGACCTGTTAATTGGAGCAGAAACCTATTTTGTCATTTTTTATATAAAGTCATTGATATTTTTTCTTTAATTTTGATACAAAACATTTCTTCAGAAATGAAAGAAAATAACTAACAAACTGTACAAATTCTTAAATGAACTGTGTATAATGAACATTGTACTTGCCAGCCTAAAAGATATATTTATTCTAGGGAAATGATGACAAGTTATATTTTTGTGTTTTTTTCCTTGTAAATGAAAGAGGATTTTTTCTGAAAGCGTATAAAATATTTGGTTTCTAAAGCTTATTTTATCATTATCAAGGCTAATTTAAGTAGTCTTGAGACACATCTAGGCCGTGCAGCATAAGTACCTGCCTGCAGATTCTTGGACCTGCAGGGAGCATTCAAATAGTAAAGTAACATCTGAAGATTTGAAATGGAGCTATGTCTGTGGCAGTACTAGATCTTACCCTGGAATAAACTGAAGTCAAAGAAAACCAACTTTTGCCCTGATTTTATGTTGTATGTACCAACAAGTCTGTTCTTTGTCTGACACATGTACTTACCTGTGAACCTTTTTGTAATACTTTTTGTATATTTAGAACACATTCATTCGAGTTGTATTTAAAAAGCAATGCTGTTAATGCGCAGTGTGTTCCTGTACAGTTTTACTGTTTTTTATAGTCGCTCTTGTGTACTTTGATTAGAAGTTAGCATGTTGCTTTATCTTTTTGAAGGTAAAAAGGTGTGAAAGGGCATTTTAGTCATTTTTGCCAGAGTTTGCAAGATGGTTTATGTTTGTAGACGTTGGTTAAGTCGCATCTGAATTTACACACAACCTTTGTAGGAAAAGCATATTTGTTTGGTCTCTGTAGCTTGTGCTCTTAAGAATTTTTTGACAATGGTTTCAGAATACCTTGACCTTGTACATGACTGTAGACCTTTGTTTGACAGCTCAATGTACTTTGAAAAAAACTTATTGAAAGTTATATAATATTTATTAGATTCCAAAAAGGTTGGAAATTATGTAATTTATTGTAAAAATGTAAGCAAATTCAAAGGCTTCCATTTGAAATAAAATTGCCATAGTTTGTGAAAATGTTTTATTTCTAGCACACAGAAACTGGGTTTTACCATAATAAATGTGTTGAGTAAAAGTCTCAGATACTTGCAATGTCACTCACTGTCTGACTTGCACAATATTTCCCACTTTTATGTTGTGCCTGTGTGGGTGTTCGGAGAAGTGAGAGTTCAGAACCTACAAGCTGTAAAAACTGCATAGCTTGGAAGACACACCTGGAGATCAACATGGAGCTAAGAGGTTTGTACTAAGCAGGGCATTTTTAAAAAATATCTTAAAATAACTACAAATGTGGGAATGAAAATGTTTTGTTTTTTAAAAATCTGTTTTGACTGCAGCTATGGAAAAGTTGACCCAGTGAAGGAAACTTGATGTTCACATTTGAGTGAATGTGAAATCTAAAGCAGAAAGCTTGAAACTAATCCCGAGGTCAAGAGGTGAACCAAGCATTTGAAGAGATAGATTCAAATTTTAAATAAGGTAATCTTAAGGTGCACGTTAAAAAAAGTTTGAAATTTTTTTTTTTGCAGAGGTTTAGTAGATTATTGAATGCCTCCTACCCACAGGTTGGATAAACTTCCCAACCCATTAAGTGATGGTCCACCAGTTGGAGGTGCAGAGCTGGAGCAGCAGCTGCTGACCTCTCTGCAAACCAATCAAAGCAGATACCAAATCCTGGATCTATATGAGCGTATGTTTATGAACATAGACTCTAGATAACACTATCTGGCAAGTACTTGTACTTTTCATGCTCAGCTGTGCTGCTCACTAGGAAGCTCTCAAGGAGTTCTTGGTACCTGCTCTTTGCCTTGTCAGAACTCAAACTTATGCTCGTTGTATGTCAAATTATACAACTAGTGACTATCCTCCTTGGAGGGGAGGTAAGCGGGGTCTCCTTGGAGCTGACGTCAAGGTGACATGCTTGACTGTGGAATGTTGGAACCAAGTCAATCACCTGGCGGTCTCAGTTGTCCAATCCTGAGCCGGGTGGGTCCACAGTATTCCAGGGCACTGTGATAATAGCTGAGCCACCAGGGCAGTGGGAAGCTCTCCAGCAAAACCATTGTATACTATGGGGTCCTTAAGGCTTGCCTCTTACCAACTGTGCCTAATTCACCCCCAATTTGGTATGCAGGATGCATCTTTCTCCTGGGAGAGAGTGCACACTCAATTTCAAACCCATGGAAATTTTCATGTGTCGATCGAATACATATGTGGAACTCCCTGTTAGGTTTGGATATGCTTAAGCATGGTATCAAACTGACAGCCCACAAAATTATAATGCCTCAACATAAATGGCTATTAAAACAAAGTCCATACAATGTTTTAGAGGGAATTGGATAAATGCTTAAAGAAAATGCTGCTGAATGGCATGAAAAAAATAAAGAAAAATAGGTTAAGAATTGTTAGCTCCAGTGGGAGAGCAAGCTCCAGCAGTTACAGTGGGCCAAATGCTTCTATGCTGTGGACATTCTATAATTTAAAATCATTGCCATTTAATGGCTATGCAAAGCCTATTAATAATAATAATAATCCTTGCATTTGATATGGCGCTTTTCACGTCTGCTCGATGTCTCAAAGCGCTACACAGAATAGACTGTAAAGTGAATTGACCGTATATTTGTGGGCGAATTGCAGCAGCCAATTGCGCACAGCAATGTCCCATAAACAGTCATGGATTGAAAATGACTAATTTATTATTGTTTTTTTTGGGATTATTATTAGCCGTGTGGAGCAAGGAAACTTGCCCAAGGTTTTGCTCTGCCTGGAATTGAACCCGGGTCTCTCACTTGCAAGGCGAGTGCTCTAACCACTGAGCTACAGGACTCCACAATTATTTAATAGTAAAGGAAGTGTGCTGTTTCTGAGCCGTGTCTGGCTGGGCCTCTTAACTGAAGACTTCTGGAACGCAACACTCTCATCAGGACCAAAAAGTTGAATATTGTCAGCCCTGCTGTTTTTTGTTCAATACTATGGATGACCCTTGTTGGTTTCGTACTTGCACTGATTGGCCATGGTCTGTGACAATGGACATAAACCCATAGTAAACTGGTGGCTTGTCATCCCTTGCAGTAGCATTTAGTAATGGTACAGTAAATGGAATGTATGTTCACAATAGTTGAAAATTTAAGATTGAAAAAAGGATGTTTCTCTTTGTGCACGTTGAGTCTGGGTTGAATAAGAAGCTCAATATCACCCTGGAACCCTAGATAAGAGGTTCACCTTAACATGTTTTCAATATTTAACACATTATTTCCACATCTAATGGTATTTTGCAAAAGCTATGAACTTTGCTCTGGATTTTTAAAGACAATATTTGATTTTGTTTGTTTTAAATGAGTAAAAACCCACAATTGATCCTAATTAACCTCGTAAACCATACTAGCTTCCAGTCAATTCCTTTACGCCAGCTCCTGCCTTCACACATCCTATATTTTCCGAAGTATTAAGATTTGCATCTGGTGCCTCGTTGTATATCAAAAAAGGGGAATTACAGTGGGACACTAAAATATAAATACTTCCATAAGATGGCATGCTAGCTCAAAAGCCATCAATGAGTTGTAGTCTATTTCATCAGTGAAAATTATCACTTGTGTATAATCTTTACGTTTCTTGTATGGGGATAATACCTCTGCTATTCACTTTGTTTCATTTACTGTAAGTATGAAATGTAATTTCCTTATTGACTCTCTACATTTAAAGTCACCGTGTTGAAACTCCTGTGTTTTGGATTAAGCAAATTAGGTTGTGAAACTCGAGGTACCACATGGAACTAATGTAAATTCTTTTCTAAAATCTTGCCATTTGAAGTTTGAGGAGGGGAATAATTCTATACCATATCAGCTTTTATTTCCCGTTTGTAACGGATGCAAACCCTTGATGTTTACATCATATGCCACAAAAATGGTCAATCTTTGTTACAGAATCCAAACGGTTTTACAGCATTATTAAACTAAAAATCTGAAAAGGCATTAGAATAAAAAGATGGATACTTTAAAGACCTTTAATGGCAGAACTTTGCAAGGGCAAAAATTAAGCAGAACATTCTATTCAAAGATGAGCAGCTCTGTGCAGGTAAATTATCTAAAAATGCTGCAGCTTATTAATTTGCTTTAGGTGCAGAAGAATACTACTTGCCAAAGTATCCCTTTTTACCTCTCCCCTTAGGGCTCCTCACATGCCTCGGGGCATTTTGTGTAACAACTAACTTCATAACTTTTTTTGTTCAGATATTGCCATATAAAAAGAGTTCCAGCAGAGTTGTGTGGTGTTGGTTCAAAAGGAAACTTTCAGCCCGTCCCAACATTTAAATAACTTGTCTTTCTTATAAATGTCACAATGTTCGGGGAACTGTACACTATAAAATCCTGAGGATGAGCTTTGGGAATGCTAGATAACATGTTTGTAGGTTCAGGTGAGAGGATTGGTTATCTCCTAAGTGGTTTTCCTTGTATGGTTAAATGTAGGTCAGTACAAGTGGGAGCCATGTTTTCATTGCCTGATCTGACTGTACGTAATGGAACAATAGTTTGCATTTATGCAGCACACTTCATGAAGGATAATGTCTCAAAGTGCTTTACAGTTGCAGATTGGAGGACAAGAGGTCAAGGACAGAAGGCAGGCATTGGGCATACATTACCTCTCCGTTTTTCACCCAAAATATATAACCTCACTTTTCTCCATTATATTTCATCTGCCATTCTCTCTGCCCAGTCTACAAGTTTGTCTGTGTCCTTCTGAACTTCTGGCCTACAATCTTCTTGACTGTTAGCTGCACTCCCTGTTCTAATCTTAGAAATTGTGCCCCTTATAATAGAATACAGATCATTTATGTAAACGGAGAAGAGTGGTCCTAACTCAGACCCCTGGGAGACAGCTATTTACACTCCATTCTGAACAACTATGTACTCCCACTCTTGTTTCCTATCCTTAAATCCACTTCCTATCCACGCTGTCATTTTCCATTAATCCCCTTTTCTTAAAAAAAAGCCTCCAATGTGACACCCTATCTGAAGATCCAAATAATAATAATAATCCGCCCCACCATCTCCTTCATCTGTTCCCTTTGGTCATTTCATCGAAGAACCTCATTGTACTTGTCAAGCACCTGCTGTAACAAGTGCTCGCTGACCGGTCTTCAGTTCATGATTAATGTCCCTGTGGCACAGCCTCTGGGCCCCGGGTGTGAGGCTCTGGTTATTTGACTGATCACTGAACCTTCAGCTCTCAATGCCTTCACAGCCGAGAGGTTTGTAACGCAGGAACCTGTTGGGAGATGTGGGCGATTCCTTACTGAGGGGACACTCTCAACGGGTATTTATTTTACTCTTTGAGACACCGGGTATTTACACTGAGACATCCTGTAGGTGTTTATTTCACTCTGACCGTTGCTTCTCGCCCTCCAGCGCCGCTCTACACCGACTCCGCTGTAAACACCGCCATAACACGTCTCCAGGACCCGCACAGGCGGCCGCTTCCGCTTCCTGTTCCAGTCGGAGCCATTGTCCTGACGGTACGCAACCATTTCCGGCCGGAACCAACGTGTGCGGCCTCGCGGGGCCGGGGGCCGGGGGAGGGCTGAGGCGGTCGCGCTCTCCTGGAGGCACGAGGGGCTGACAATGAGGATGTCGGGGAGTCCCGGAGCGAACAGGTCAGCCATGGAGTCAGCCCCCCACCCCTCCCAGCCCCCCACCCCCAGTGCTCCCCTCCCAGCCCCCCCCAGTGCCCCCCCATCCCCAGTGCTCCCCTCCCAGCCCCCCCCCCCTCCCAGCCCCCCCCCCAGTGCCCCCCCCCTCCCCAGTGCCCCCACCCCCCCCTCCTCCCAGCCCCCCCCCAGTGCCCCCCCCCTCCCCAGTGCCCCCACCCCCCCCTCCTCCCAGCCCCCCCCCAGTGCCCCCACCCCCCCCCCTCCTCCCAGCCCCCCCCCAGTGCCCCCACCCCCCCCTCCTCCCAGCCCCCCCAGTGCCCCCCCTCCCAGCCCCCCCCAGTGCCCCCACCCTCCCCAGTGCCCCCACCCCCCCCCTCCTCCCACCCCCCCCCCAGTGCCCCCACCCCCCCCTCCTCCCAGCCCCCCCCCAGTGCCCCCACCCTCCCCAGTGCCCCCACCCCCCCCCTCCTCCCAGCCCCCCCAGTGCCCCCACCCTCCCCAGTGCCCCCACCCCCCCCTCCTCCCACCCCCCCCCCAGTGCCCCCACCCCCCCCCCTCCTCCCAGCCCCCCCCAGTGCCCCCACCCCCCCCCTCCTCCCAGCCCCCCCAGTGCCCCCAGCCCCCCCCTCCCCAGTTTCCTTTGGCTTGATAACATGTCTGACAGCTGGCTTGCAACTGGGGATTAATAATAATAATCTTTGCATTTGATATAGTGCCTTATCACATCTTTAAGACGTCTAACACTTAGACTTAACATACTGTAATTAGCTTATAAATGGACTCTGTCTCTGAATTTCTCTCTCTTGTCTTCATAACACTAGAATGACTTCTGAAAATACCATTTCTGAGGACTATGTTGTTGGCCAGGTGGCAGGCAGCCTGTTTCAGAAAAAAAAGACAAAGAAGAAAGCAAACTCACTGGCCTCTCTCTTCAGTAGCCCAGCCACAGCTGCTAAACCAATATTCCTCCCTGTTCAAGAAAGCAATGTGAGTAAACAAATAACAGTTCCATGAAGTGAATGGTTCCTAGGTGTTTAAATTGGCCCTTGACTTACATTTAATCGTTTGGATACTCTTAAGGATGGGTCTCCATACGTATTTTTACACCTGGGTGACTGTGGAATTGGGTCTGGAGTGATTTTACAGTGAGTATAGCATCAGGAATAAGACCACTTGATCCCTCTTGTGTGCTGTCTTTATGTCTATCTACCACATTTCAATTTGTTCTACATCTTCAACCTCTGGGGAAGCCCGTTCCACATTCTCACAACTGTCTGTGTGAAGAAGTGTTTTCTCGATTCAGTTTTAAATGTTGACACTAATCTTAAAACCAATTTAAAACTCCTTCCATCTGTTGGCAGCTTGTTTTAATTTTGAGACGATGAGCTTTAATAAGTGCAGCGCTGTTTTGATTTGGGTCAATTAATCAGGTTGCTTGCTGAGGCTCAGGGGTGGTTTGATGAATTTGGATATACCGACTTGGGATATTGTTCGTGTGCAGGTGGGTGGTAGAAAAAGAAGGTTTAGTGAGGAGTCTGACACAGAGAAGATCAACAAGCAAAAAAAGTTGAAAAAAGTGGGACCTCCTGTACAGAAGGTTCTGAAAGCTGCTGAGAGGAGGCTGGCCGAGCGGTAAGTGGTGCAGCGACTGTCTCTTCTTTTCTATTAGTCACAGGATGGGAAGAAGCTGAAGTATCTGTTTTAGTAATTACTAACCTGGCTGTTATTGAACGAGAGGTCCCAATTTCAGCCTCTCTCAGCCAGTGTGTATGCAGTGATCACACAACCACAGTAGTATGTCTCTGGTTCTGGTGTGAACTCCCAGAGGTCACCAGTTAACATTGTTGGCCTGGTACTGAATACCGTTTTAGCTACAAGATTGTCATCCAAGGCAACCAGCAGTGTCCAATGTTGGGTTACCCAATTCCAGCCCTAGCGAGACCCCTGCTTGGAGTGGCATATCCACTTGTCTCCATATAACAGAGATCCAACTCAACAATGATAAGCCAGAGATGAGGAGTGAGTAAGTGCGGCAGTGAGCTTACTGATATTTTGACATCAGCGTATAATGTCGAGACATTTGCTCATACACAAATTTGTCATTCATGATGACAAACTGATCTCCATTAGCCAATAGTGGTAGAATTTCTGAAAAAGCCAGGAGGAAAGTCACCTGATTTTCAGATGGCTTTACTCATGCTTTGTCTTGTCTTCAGCTACTTATGCCAGTGCTCTCCTCAACTCTCCCAAAATCCCTACATTTTGAATATTCTTTCCCTGCTTTGAGAAAGCTCTTTGAACGTGTTTTTGATCGTCGCCCTCAAATTTCCTTTCCTTCCTGCTCAGTGTTTCCTATCATCTTTGTGAAGCGCTTTACAATGTTTATTCTCTATGAAAGGTGCTACATAAGTGCAAGTTATTGTGACCCGTTGGCCCTTGAGTTAATGGGTCCTCTGCAGATCTAGACCTGAGTTGTCTGACTTTTTAATCCAATTGCGTCAAGTTCATCCAAGCTTTGGAGCGTGATGTCCACGATAGTAAAACTCAAATGGCTTCCAGCTGTTGTGCTGTCTCTCTATTGCCACTTGGTCCATTACTGAGCTGATTCGGGTTGTCCACATGTCCGGTACTATTTTATTCAAGATAAATGGGTTTATATGTGTTTGGGCTCCTTGTAGGTATAAACTGTTCTTCTGCATGTCCCCTGCAGGGAGCGTGCCCTGAGCACTGCTGATGAAGAGGATAAACAGGTCAAAAACACCAAACAGAAAAAAAATAAGAAACGTGCTTTGGGATCAAAAAGTGAGACGAGTACAGGAGATGGAGAGACAGTCCTCACAGGGCTGCAGCCTGAGAAAGGAACCAAACCGCGAGCCAGAAAAAAGGCCACTATCCAGCCAATAGATAGAATAAAAAACAAAAGAACTTTGTTTGTAGGGAACCTGCCTTCAGACTGCACTAAACAGGTAAGAACTATCTGCCCAACTTATTTTCCCATAAAACCAGGGATAAGAGCTGAGTCTTGGGGATTAAGTCTAGTTTCCTTTGGTCTGCATGTCCCCGACCCTATCCGCCTTCCATTGACAGGCAGGCTTTCAGTCATTCTGCCTGCACTCTTTGGAACTCCATCCTGGAGTCTCTTCGACTCCCTCCCTTCACTCTTTCAAGGTCCATCTCAAGACGTACCTCTCTGCCCGTGCTTTGCATTTATCTCCTTTATCGCAACTCAACTGAGGTACTTTTTGACGACCTCCCAAAGTGAAAGGTGCTATATAAATATAATTGTTTTGTATTGTGATAGTTGATTTGTAGGTACCGGGGGTGTCGGCCATTTCTTGGAATAGCTGAAAGATTGTTATGTTCATAGCCACTTACAATAAATCAAATGACTTGGTTGCACTCATCCTGTCATGTAAAGTGTAAAGATTACCACTTCACATTGTAACCAACAACAGAATAAAATTTAGTATAGAGCCTTTCATATCAAGGGGATGTCCTAAGACGCTGGACCCGAGCTGAGGATCAGGGAGGGCGGAGGGCAAGCGGGGAAGGAGAGTGATCGAAGGCACAGTCGAAGAGGAAGGTCTTGAGGCGGGTCTTGAAGGAGGCAAGGGAGGGGGCAAGACAGAGGAATGGCGGGATGACGCCTTCCTAAATCCCCTGGCGTCTTGCATTTTAACTTGAGGCTCCTCTCTGATCTCCCTGGGGGCTTGTAAACAGTGTGTGTATGTGTGTGTGTCTTCTAGATCTACCTCCATGTACCAAGTTAAATAACTTGGATCCACCAACATTATCTCAGAACATTTTGAAAACCTTTTATTTCTTGACAGATGCTTGTGTCGCTATTCAAGGAGTTTGGGGCTATAGAGTCTGTGCGATTCCGTTCTTTGGTAAGTTTTATCCAATTCTTGAGTGAATTAGTCCATATTTGACATTGAACAAGATTGGTGCTTGCTTGCAAGTGTCTCAGTGTAATCTCAGCTCCTGACCCAGGAGGCCATTTGCAGCGTCTCAACTGCTGCCCTGACTCTGATCAGCTAATTCAGCACAGACATGCAATCTTCTGTTCGGTCTGTCTTGGAGCTACACTGAAAGGTGATTTACCCACTGGGCCATCGGAGAAGCTAGATCTAAACTTGTATCTGTAGTTTTAAATTTATCTTTGGATAAATTTTGCAGGTCACCTTTAATTTCGCCAGTCCTCTGGTTCTACCGCATTGTAATAGCAAAAGAGACATCGCCTGTTGACGTGATGGGTTTATTATTTATTGATGACCTTTATTTTCTCTGATTAAGGCACGTGTGGAGCCCAGCATCTCCAGAAAACTGGCAACAATACAGTAAGACACTTAGTTTAATTGTTGTTTTCATAGAGAAATTCTGTAGCAAAGACTTTTCTGGTCGGGATATTTAACATCTTTGAGGCAGACAATCAATTCAACAGAAGAGCTTCCTCTGGACTTCAGTTTTCACTATGAAATGTCTCTTAATACTAAATTTGTAGTGAGGGGCCTGTGCAGGTATTGGAGCGTCTCCGTCCTCCTCTGTTGCACAGATTAAAACCACTCTTCCAATGCAACACAGACTTGTGTCCAGAGTGTCCTCTGTTGTGATCTTGTAATAATAGCCTGTAGAAGTTGCTTCCAAATGTTGTCAGTGGAGAGCAACCATGTGACCTAGCTCTACAAAATGTCTGCTCACTGCCTCAACTTTAAATTGTAAGCAGATTGGGAATCATCAGCCAACTACACTTTCACTTCACAATCTTGACCAAACGTTAAATAGTAAATTACGTAAATAAAATTGAAGAGGTCATTGCTTTCTCCTCCCTTTCTTATGCTGGAGTACAGTTTCACTTCCAGTATTTCATGTAAGTGTTAATTTTTCATTTTAGGATGACATTGGACTCATTAGCACTCTTACCTGAGTCTGTGGGTTCAAAACCCACTTTAGGACTTTGAACGTACAGTGTAGGCTGACAAGATCAGCCATGATCTAATTAAATAGCAGGATGGCCTCCTCCTGTTCCTACATTCCTAAGATACTTTATTGCAGTGCCAGGGGTGCTCTGCATTGTTGGCGGTGCCATCCCTAACATGAGACATTGAACTGAGGTCCTGTCTACCTGTTCAGGTGGATGTTAAAAATCCCATGGCATTTCTGGGAAAGAGAAACCAGTTTCTCCCAGTGTCCTGACCCAACAATCCCCCAGATAAAATGTGTCCATTCACTTCCTGGCTGTTTGGAGGATATTGCTGATAAACCCTCTTTAGAGTCTACCCTGCATGGAGGGCGCTATATAAGTGCAAGTTGTCGTTGAGGCTGTGTGCAAATTGGCCGTCGTGTTCACCTACAAATACGCATTAAGATTCTATGAAGCGTTTTGACCACTTGGCACTATGTCATAAGTAGAGATTTATTATATCCCGAACAGTGATTGTCAGCAGCTATTAAACCAAGACACGCTATCCTCAGCCCAAATCCACGTACTTGCACTTTCCAGCAGGAGTTACTTATTAACCAGTGATGTGATCCCGGTATATTGATGCACCTTATACAGGCATGTGAAGAATTTTAGATTTTTAATCCTTTTTAATCGTGCATTAATTTCTTAAATTGTTATTCGATCTTGAACTCAGAATGATTTGCTTTTTTTGGGACCGAATTTTTTTTTAAAATTGTTTGAATAAGGTTTTCATTATTGTCCTGTAGGAAAGCACTATGCATTTACCCTGCTGCTTCATTGATGAAGTGGGTCAGATGCTATATGAATATTCATGGTTTCTGTGCTATTTCAGAGTATAATTCTTAATGCTGGAACCCAGAAGGAAGTGCAGCAATCTCCACTGATTGTATGTGTCTTGTGAGAGTGATGGAGGAGCAACTACAACTACTTATTTGACTGTACTTTCGGTTATCTTTCCCTTCCTCATTCCCCCACCTCCCCTAGCTCTCAGCCTCAGCTTTGATGCCCAGACAGAATTGTCAACCGTTTTGGGATGCTCTCCTGATGTGAAAGGTGCTACATAAGTGTAAATTGTGTTTAATTGTATTGTAGTTGCACTTCTATGGTACCTTTCTCGTGGGATACAGCAACTTCTTTTCGGAGCAGTTCAGGATATTTTAACCACTGGTTAAGAGATGAAACTAAATGACCAAACATCAAGGTTAGATTCCCAGCCTCAGAAACATAAATTCTGTAGAATGTTTTTAGAGGTAGAGAGAAAATATTTGTGTGGTTTCTTTATATCTATATATAAAAAGGTGTTTTTCTTCCCATAATTGTGATACATCCTCATTACTTATCCTGGAATATTCTTCGAAAGAAAAAATGCTTCTGCCCTCCAGTGGTCACAGAACACATGGTGTTCCTGAAACAAATCACCACCTGCTGCTTGTCACACATCCAGAACGCCAGCAGAACATCACCTGGAACTCCAAAAGCCATGAGATTGATTCCAGGGGATTGTGAACGGTGTCTGTGTGATTGCATACCTCGTGTGTAATTGTGTTGCTGTCGCAGTACTGTACTGTCAGCTATCCATTGAATCAAAAGTTTTTAGGGAAGATAGTTCTGTTGTAAGTATAGCTTCTTTGAAGTACATTTCTGAAGTTGTTTCTTTTTTCCTCCCTCCCTTCCAAACAACAGGAGAAATGTTCACCCAAAGAGGAGGAACCTCAATGCCTATGTAGTTTTTAAAGTGGAAGACGATGCAGTAAAAGCTGTGAAAAGGTAGAGTACTGAGGGCTGACTATACTAAGGTGTGGTACTGAGTTCTGACTGTACACACAGTCTGTCTGGACCAAAATCTGATAAAACAAAGACTTCTCTGGGACCTAGGGCTGGCATTTCTGTTGAGTTACAGGTGAGTTGTGTTTGGGGATGGGGGGGGAGGAGGCTTTACTTTGATAGAAGCCAAGTATAGAAGCCAAGTATACATTAAAATATTTAGTTTGTATAAAGACTAATATATATTTTGTTTATTAAAGGAATGGACATGAAATAAAAAAGGGATTTCATATTCGTGTCGATCTGGCCTCCAAGTCAAATGTCGTGAGTCATTAACAAAAGCTTAAAGCGGGTTAATTTGAGGAGTTTTATTTGGGAAAGATGTACGACAAGTAAATGACTAATTCTTATTTTGTTTTTTTTAAACAGCACAATCACGGAAAATCTATCTTTATTGGCAACTTGTCATATGGTAAGATATGTACACTTGTCTTGTGAGCTGTGCACACTTGCTTGTGAGATGTTCTTCACCATGGCATGCTACATTGATGGACAAGCAATAGGATCTTATTTGGGGATAATTTAATTTAAAAAAAAGCCAATCCTTCAGCACGGTATGTGTGCAATTAAGAGGGCTCTTCCACCATAAGAGTTTTGGCTCACAAGAGTTAGGGGCATTGCATTTACCACAGTTCTGTCTGGTATGGGACTGAGGTCTGACAGTAAAGATCGGATTATACAAGATAAAATCAGAAGTCGCTGGGAAGTTGGAATACAGACAGCATCTGGGGAGAGGAAAGTGAGTTAACATTTCAGGTCGATGACTTTTCGTCAGAACTGGGGGACTTTGGAAGGGAGCAGTTTATAAGGACAATCGGAGATGGGGGCAGGGAAACAAAGACAAAGGACAAAATTAGGTGGACAGTACATGATCAGAGGTGTCGATGATGCAAGACAAAAGAAGGCAACAGTGGGAGATTATAGGGAAAAAAAGATGTTTCCGATACCCAGAGAATATGTGAATGTTTATAGAAAAGCGAGCGGGGTGAGGCAAGGCTGAGAGGAGATGGAAGATGTGTTTAAGGTTTGAAGTGGTTAAAATCAATGTTGAGGCCAGGGAGCTGTAAGGTGCCTTGGAGGTATGTGAGGTGCTGTTCCTCGAGCTTGTGTTGTGCTTCATTGGAACAGCATAGGAGGCCATGGACAGAGAGGTCAGAGTGGGAAGGAGAATTTAAATGGCAAGCGACCAGAAGCTCAGGGTTGCACTTGTGGACTTCAGCAAAGCCATTGCTCAATCTGCATTTGTCTCCCCGATGTAGAGGAGACTACAGCATGAACAGTGAATACAGTAAACTACATTAGTGGAAGTCCATGTAAATCACTGTCTCCCCAGAAGCAGTGTTTGGGCCTTGGATAGAGGAGAACGAGCAGGTGTTGTATCGCCTGTGCTAAGCCACTTTAACTGCATCTGCACAAGTGGAAAGAGTATCATTGAGTGTTTTAATAGTGTATATAATGTTGAATGTCTCTTGTGCTTTTGTAGAGATTGAAGAGGATGAAGTGCGGCAGCATTTTTCTGACTGTGGTCCTATTGAGTCTGTTCGGATTGTGAGAGACAGAGAGAGTGGAATGGGGAAAGGATTTGGATATGTTCTCTTTCAGGTGAGGCTAAATACAGTCGTACCCCATTATTACATACTTCATTATAATGCAGGTTGGCTTATAGCTGGAGTAGAGTGTGGACCCTGACATTCAGTTACTGAAAAATCCAAATCGTGAGCAGAACATTCGCAGCACAACAGGAGATAATGTCGGTGACCTGATGACCCGGAGGTCACAATTTTTTTTAAAAGCGCATGAAAAACTGGCCAGTGTTTTTGAAATGAGCCGGCTTTCTGTACATTTGCTCAATGAATTAGGAAACACACCTGCACTGGAACACCTTATTCTGGTTGCGAATTTACAAACTCCCCAAGCACCACGTTAGAACTGTCCAGCCTTTCCCTTGGAGACCTCTGGACCTGCTGAGTTTCAATGATACCTGATACTCATAGCTATTCCTTACTGCCTGAAACTTCCACTGGAACACCATTGGTTTTGCTTTAATTTTCTGCTTTTGTTGAAATAAATCTTCGACCAGGTTCGATTCCCAAGCAGGGCAAAAAGTTGGGCAAGTTTCCATAATCCACATGTATCTCTTTACCTAGCAATAAGTAGGAATCTGGTTGTTAGTCGAATGGCGGATCACTTTTCCAGGGGTAATAATTCCTTCAAAAAATAAATAAATAATAATAATTTGATCGCTCAATCTACCACTTTGTGGGACACTGCTATGTGCAATTGGCTACCACGTTTCGCCCACAAAATACACAGTCAATTCACTTTACAGTCTGTTCTGTGAAGCGCTTTGAGACATCTAGAAGACGTGAAAAGCGCTACATCAAATGCAAGGGTTATTATTTACTGCTGAAGTATGAAGGCAGGACTAATGCTGTGCGAATTTGTTACCTTGGTGTAGATTTTTGCTGCTAGATGCAGTGGCTTTGACATTGGGCATCAATATAAAGTGGACATTGCCAAAATTCTCAGGGTTTGTTGCCCAGAGGAATTTTACCTCTTCATGTTTAACAATCTCTAGAATCTGAGATCTTAAATTCAGTGTCACAGAGGTTCATATCCAAGCTACTCACACAGTGAGATTCTGATCCTTAGCTGTGCTACTGGGGGTGCCTGGCTGAAGCTAAACGATTGCGCACAAAAGAGAGACAAGACAGTTCCTGACTACAGATATTTACAGCTGTGCTGGTTTAAGGCCATTCTGTCATCATGTCTGGCGCTCTGTAAATTTAAATTGTTTTGCCTTGTCTTCACCCAGACAGCAACTTGTGCTTTCAGGAAGAGGCAACTGAACAATGACTGAAATGGAAGCCCTGATTTTACTTTCTCTCTTTACTCTCCCCCCAACATTGCGCTGAGATCACTTGTTGATTCCCCTATTATTGCTGTCCAGGGTGAGGCTGATCACAGACTGGGGATGGAACCTGGGAACTCTCCAGTCTGTGTGACTTCACTTCACATTGCTGAGCCATCAGGACAGGCTGGGATTGTTCTGGCTGAAGCTGGATAGGTCCTGGGCATTTAATTACTTGCGTTTTGCAGTGGGACTGAATGCCAGATGTGGGTTGACTGGTTTGGGAGATTACCAATGTCTTATTTTCTTCTCCTATACAGCGGATCGTGAGTGCACAGACCCTGCTTGAAGATGATATTGAGTGAACTGCCCATTGATTCCTGGGAGTTTCGCCACAGATACCTGCTGCCCGTTTTTAAAAACACACACACATGCACAAAAAAATGTATATTACGTGTAAAGTGATCGAATACGGACTCTGCATTCAAACTGGGGAAGTCTGCTCAATTCAGTGCTCTCTTTCACTGCTAAGCATTCCCATGGTGTCACTTTATTTATTGTACCAGTTTGCTGAGATGTATTTTGATACTAAAGCGATAAAAAGACTGCGCAGGTATTTCTGTATCATGTTGAATGTCATCATTTGTGTTTGTCTCTGTTCAGTTCTGCCAGGAAAGTAGCCCTGTGCACACCTGCAGGTCTTTGTGAGCATGAGGCAGATCCACCTCCCTTTCCTGTGCCTCTTCCAGCTTGAAGTCTTGGTTACACTTGAAACCAGTTTGTCAGAGCTGCTGGGAAACTGATTTCTATTAATCCTTCCAACAGAGATTTTTAATAAATGTATTAAATGAGTCTGTGCCTTTCAATTCCTCTGACTGTGTAGGAAATGTGGGTAAGAGAAAGAGGTAGGTTGCTGGTTTCCATGCATCGCCATCATCTCACGAGTTTCCAATCTCGGCCCTTTCTGGGCATTCAATCTCCTCCTTCTACAACAGACAGCTTCCCATTACCATATCAGCCTGTCCCTTAAATGAGTCTAGTATTCTCCTGTTCTTCCTTTTAACCAATTCCAGCTACTGATTACTCGCTGTGAAGAAATACCTGCTGGTTATAAACCATGTCCTGCTGATGTGAAATTGCCATTCGTAGCTCTGATCTGTGGCTTCTCATCCTTTGCTGCAGCACTCCCACCATCTTGCCTTGATTATCATTGCACGTAGTAGGGCTCATGTGCATTTATTGTTTTTAATCCCTTGCCTCTCATCATGGGTGTGGTGTGTCTGTTTATTTCGCAAGATGTTTTTGCGCTTCAGCAATTTTATTTCCAATCTGTTCACCTATGCGAAGACGTCTGGCTCGCTTTTCCAGTCTGATGTAGTGAGATGTGTGCTTCTGGTGATCTCATAGAAGACTGACTCTTTGTGTGTGTGTGTGTGTGTGGGCAGGGTGGGGAGGTGTACTGTACAAGCATGACATTGTGTCTCCCAGCTCTGCAACTGGGACTTATTGCAGTATGCCACATTCTCTCTCTCTCTCTCTCTGAGAAATTAACTAATGAACAAATTGAAGCAAATGAATTGTGATCAGGTAAGTGGATCCTCCTGGGCTGGAGTGTGCTGTTGGAAGATACAATCACCAAAGCCAACTGGGTCTACAGTGGTCGGCACAAACCTCACAAAGAAGGGAGTTGCCAAACAAGGAAGGCAGATGAAGAAGTGGTTGGAGAATGCTGAGCGGCAGACTAGTTGAAGTAGGTATAGTATTTGATGGGATTTTTAATACAGGCAGAGTAGGTGAAAGGGTTAGAATTCCACAGAGGCACATTAGTAGCACCTTGTATGGGCGGTGTGGCCGTAGGCAGGAGAATCAAGTTGAAGGTAAACAGAAATGGTGGGGGCAGGAACAAGAAGGTCAAAAAGCAGCAAACAGTAAGAGGATTAGGGTGTCTATCTGAGCATGTGAACTATTTGCTGCTGTTGATGTAGGCTGAGCCCCGATTAGTGGTCGAGGCTCTGTGTGACCCAGCTCTGCCTTTATGCTGGCTCAGTCAGATTGTCATTTCATTTTTGAGTCAAATTTCTGGAGCGAATGATATGCCATTGTATAATTTTTATAGGGGTTTAATTCCCACAGGTTTGGCTTTGTACTTGTTTAAGGTCAGTGTTATGGTATTTCTCTTCCTTAATGAGACTGAACAATAGGTCCAGGGCTTATTTTTTTTCTCTCGTCAGAACTCCTTCAAGAGTGGAGAAATCGGACTCCTTTTTCCATCTACTTGAGGACAGTCCACGGATGCCCTCTGGCTCCGATACCTTGCTCAAGCGGCCATTCTACAGACATGTGCCCTGACAGTGACAATCGCAGGGAAGCCTGATCCTGTCCTCACCAGATATCTACATACATGCACTTTCTAGCAAGAGTCTGGACAGTGTCCAGGAGTGGGACTGATATCCCCCTCACTAACCCAGCGTCTCTGAGGCTGACCGTATAATCTCAGGTCCAGACACATGTGGAAGCCCATCACCATGCTTAAAGAGTATCCAAACCAAACTGAGAATTCCATGCATCCCACCTACACATGGTAATCCCAGAGATAGATTTTTGGAATCGAATGCGCACTCTCGCCCCAGAGGGAGGTGTCCTGCTTACCTACTTCTGGAAAGTATTAGGCGCAGGTTGGTATACTAATACATAAAAGTGATAATGTTTAGTACTACTTCTATAATTTATTCACCCTCTCACTTTAATGTTTTATCATGTTTGGGTTAATGTTCCTGCCGGTGTTTAGGGCCATCATCACCTTCCATCACCTCCAGAACATCGCCAGACTACGGCATTACCTCACCCCTCACGCTGCTGAAACCCTGGTTCACGCCTTTGTCACCTCAAGGCTGGACTATGGGAACTCTCTCCTCGCCGGCCTTCCCGCCACCTCCCTCCACAAGCTGCAGGTCATTCAGAACTCTGCAGCTCGTGTACTGTCCCGCACCAGGCTTCGGGACCACATCACTCCCACCCTCGCTCGCCTCCACTGGCTCCCCATCCCCCAGAGGATCGAATTCAAGATCCTCATCCTCACCTACAAGGCCATTCACGGCCTTGCTCCCTCCTACCTCTCCGACCTACTATCCCCCTACTTACCTGCTCGTACCCTCCGTTCCTCTGGCTCCGGTCTGCTCCACGTCCCCCGCCCCAACCGCCCTACCATCGGTGGTCGGGCCTTCAGCCCCGAGGCTCTGGAACTCTATCCCCCAGTGCCTTCGCCGCCTCCTCCCTTTCCTCCTTCAAGGCCGGTCTCAAGACCTTTCTCTTTGACCGTGCCTTCAGCTCCCCTCTCGACTCTCTACCCCTCCTCGCTCCCTCCCTTCCCTCCCCTCACCCTGACCATTTCCCCCCTCCTCGCTCCCTTCCCTCCCCTCACCCTGACCATTTCCCCCCTCCTCGCTCCCTTCCCTCCCCTCACCCTGACCATTTCCCCCCTGCTCGGGTCATGACCCAACTGTGCAGCGCCTTGGGACGTCCTCCTGACGTGAAAGGCGCTTTATAAATGGAATCTTGTTGTTAAAGATCCCAAGGCAACTATTTAAAAAAGAGAAGGGAATTTCTCCTGGTATTCTAGCTGGCAACTCCCAAATAAAATTGGTCATTCACTTCTTGACTGTTTGTGGAACATTCCTGTGTGCAAATGTCACAGTCACTATACAGTAAAATTCTGTGGAACTCTTTGACATGGTTTTGCAACCTGATAAGGCACTATCAGATGTATGGATTATTATTATCATCATTTTCTAGAGTAATATTAGAGGTTGCATTATAATACTTACATTTGTTATAGTGCTTTATCACATCTTTGAGTGTCTCAAAGCGCTTCACAGAATATACTGTAAAGTGAATTGACTATTTTTTTGTGGGAGAAACGTGGCAGCCAATTGCACACAGCAGTGTCCCACAAACAATGGTGGATTGAAGTAACCGATTTATTATTATTTTTTTTGAAGAAATTATTAGCCCTGGAAAATACGACCCCCCAATCAACTCACAACCGGGTTCCTACTTATTGCTAGATGAACAGAAGCATGTGGAGTAAGGTAATTTGCTCAATTCACCCAGGACACCATTATAGCACTCTATCATGTCATTGAGACATCTTTACAGAACTTTAGTGTAAAGTGCAGTGTCTTTATTTTGTAAGTAAACATGGCAGCTAATTTCCACGCAGTAATATCCCATAAATAATCTTGAAGAGAGTAACCAATTTTCTTTGGGGGATTGTTGGATAGGACATCAGGAGAAACTCCCTTCATTTTTAAATAGTCAATGGAATCTTTAAAGTCTACCTGAACAGGAAGACGGGACCTTGGTTTAAAGTCTCATCTGAAGGATGGCACCTCCAAAAACAGCAGCTCACCCTGAGAACTGAATTGGAGTGTCAGCATAGACGATGAGTTCAAAGTCTCAATGTGGGGCTTGAACCCGCAACCTTCTGAATCAGACATGACAGTGCTACTAACTGTGCAGGCTGTTACCTATGAGTGGAGTCCTGTAGCTCAATGATTAGAGCACTCGCCTCGCAACAACAACAAAATTACATTTATAGAGCGCCTTTCACGTCGGGAGGACGTCCCAATGTGCTGGACAGTCAGGGGTCAGGACCTGAGCATGGGGGAGGGGTGGAGTAGGGGTGAGGGAAGGCAGAGAGGAGAGGTGGGAGGGCGACTGAAGGCACAATCGAAGAGGAGGGTCCTGAGACAAGTCTTGAAGGAGGCAAGGGAGATGAAGGGACTGTGGGATGGAGTTCCAGAGTGTGGGGGCAGAGAAGCTGAAAGCTCGGCCACTGATGATTGGGTGGGAGACATGGAGCAGGCGGAGCCCGCTGAGTGGAGGGAGCGGGCAGGTTGGTAGGGAGTCAGCAGGTCAGAGAGGTAGGAGGGGGCAAGGCCATGGATGGCCTCGAAAGTGCGGACAAAGATCTTGAATTTGATCCTCTGAGGGATGGGGAGCCAGTGGAGTCGGGCGAGGGTGGGAGTGATGGAGTCACGGAGCCTGGTGCGTGAAAGTACACGAGCTGCAGAGTTCTAAATGATCTGCAGCTTGTGAAGGGAAGAGTTGGGAAGGCCGATGAGGAGGGAATTTCAATAATCGAGCCTTGATGTGACGAACATGTGGGTGAGGGTTTCGGCAGCCTGAGGGGTGAGGCAGTGGTGGAGCCTGGCAGTGTTGCGGAGGTGGCGGTAGGCAGTGCCAGTCATGGTGCGAATGTGGGGGAGAAAGGCTTAGTGAGGGGGGACTGGCTTAGTGAGGTTGAGTGTGCAGTCGTGGATGTTGATGCTGCCAGCGCCCGAGGTGCGGAGGCGCTGGTGAGAGCCAATCAAGAGGGCCTCGGTCTTGCTGACGTTCAGCTGGAGAAAGTTGTTCCTCGTCTGACCCTCTTGATAATAATAATAATAATCCTTGCATTTGATATAGTGCTTTTCACATCTTCTAGACATCCCAAAGCGCTTCACAGAATATGCTGTAAAGTGAATTGACTGTATATTTGTGGACATTACATTGTGATGTCGGACAGGCAGTCAGTTAGGATGCCAGTAGGCCTGGAGTTGAGGGTGGAGACAGAGAGGTAGAGTTGGGTGTCATCTGCTTACGTGTGGAAATTTACCCCATGTCTGTGGATGATGTCATCAAGAGGAGGGGGGGGACCTAGGACAGAGCCCTAAGGAATATCACAGAGATGGTGTGGGGACTGGAGGAGAAGCCATTTGCTGATACGAAGTGGAGGCCGTGTGAAAGGTAGGACTTGAACCAATCAAGGACAGAACCTTGAAGGTTGAGGTGGGAGGAGAGGCGGTGGAG